TTCTGGATATGTATATTTACATTTTATCCAAAAAAACCGAATGTTAGGAAGTATACTATCCAATGCAATTGAGGTTGGTGGAAAACTACATGTCATAGAATAAATGTCCTTAGTTATTCTTTTGTACTTTATTTCATTCTTTTCAAATGGTGAGAGTATTATATATTTAGATTAGTTGGATTGGTACAGAGTACTCAATTTTAACATTTATTAAAAAATCAATACTACAAATTACTCCGTAAAGCATAACAATAATATATAATAGTAACAATAATAGTAATTATAGTAATTATTACTATTATTATTATTATAAAAATAATAACAATACTAATAAGAGTAATAATAGTAATAGTAATATAATAGATAATAATATAATGCTTCCAATTTGGTATGAATGTTTCTGAACTGATCTGATCTGAATGCGTCTAATTTGATCTGAATGCTTTTGATCTGATCTGAATGTTTCTGATCTGATCTGATCTGATCTGAATCCTTCTGATCTGAATCTTTCTGATCTGAATCTTTCTGATCTGATCTGATCTGAATAAAATAAGAATAAACAATAAGTAATAAGATTAAGACGAACAGAACAACTTCTTAATGTTAAACGGTGTTTAAAATCATTTGAAGTAAACATGAGCTTACAACATTGCTTATTTTATGCGTCGCTTATTAACGCGACTTTTACTAAGCACCGTTTAATAACCCGTGAAGTAAAAGTGTCCTAAGGGTATTACTGTTATTCTAACTTAATATCAAACATCAATAGTTCTTACACAATTTTATGGTACAATCTAGTATAAATTAAAGGTGTTTTGTTTTTATGTTTTTCAGCACTATTATGCCCCAAACTGTTGACTATAAGTCTATAACAACAACAACACTCAAGCCTTATTCACAAAAGATTTTGGGGTTGGCTAGCAGAGGAACTGATGATTAAATTGATAAAATACACATAAGGGATGTAAGATGGTATTTTGATTCTTTGTAATACGACTTCCTTTTAGGTTGAATGGTTTCTTGACACATCATCGAAAAACAAGTGTCCATGTGAAAGCTAGGTACACAATTTTAGATAGTGTATTCGTTTAATAATACTACGTATATTATATGCCTGATGTCATGCATACTCGTGTATCGTGTAAAAGATCTATTTTGCTTTAACACAAACAAATATTAACATAGTCGATTATGATATGAAAAGTGCACAATTGACAAAGTTGACAAATTATATCAAGTGAGATTTTTCCTAAAATATTACTAATAAAAAGTTCATGGAAAAAATGGGACTAAGTAGCTATCACCAATAGAGTACAAGAATATTTAGAGGTGGGCACGGTCCGGGTCGGTTCGGGTAATCGATAGATTTTTAAGAACCGCCGGTTCCATTTACCGAGTAGGTTCGGTCCGGGTATACCAATTTTCAAAATAGGAACCCAACCTTACCAGCCCCGTTTGAAACGGGCCGGTTCGATTCGAGCCCTCGGTTCCTTGTTTTGTAAAAAAATATGACTATGCAAACAAAGTTTCTAGTAAGTTATAAAATTCTCCAATTAATTACATATAAATGTAACCATAATATAGTATTCATTCAAAAGAAAAAATAAGACAACATATTGAATTAGTTAACAAAATATCGAACCACAAAACTATAAATTAAACAACACACAATCAACTTAATTAAAATAGTAATCATCATTCACACAATCAACACTATAATTTAAACTTTTAATAGACTGAGAAGTTTCTTTAATTGGATGTCTTTGTCTAAATACAAGAACATGAAGAGCTTTTCTATGTTGTTAGTAGATAGTATATTATTTTATACCAGTATTAAATATCTTAGAGATTATTAAAATATTATTTTAAAACGGTTCGGTCTGGGTACCCGTTTTTTCAAATTTCAAGACACGTTCGGTTCCTAAATTTTTCAGGACCCGCCCCGCCCCGAACCGTTTGGATTTTCTAACATTAGGACCTGATCCTAACCCGCCCCGAACTTGTATTACCCGGCCCGACCCGGCCTGATAGTGGAATTTAACATGATATTGATGCATTAACATGATAGAGGACACGAACATTGAAATGGTAACAAGCATCTCAAGATATGCCCTTGAGAGTTGAGACCATACTTTCCACTGACCTTCGGCATTAGTTGTTCTATTTGTTTTTTCCTACTCTGACCTCACTATAAGACAAGCTCTTCAAATTTGAATTTTATTTCTCGTGTGCATTCTGAATGTGAAATGTGAAAGGTTAATTCAAGTCTTCTATTGCATCATATGCTAGAATTTTAGGATGTTTTCTTTTGGACTTTTTCAGTCCCAGACCAGACCAGACTTAAACAGACCAGACCAGACCAGACTTAAACAGACCAGACCAGACCAGACCGGACCAGACTTAAACAGACCAGACCAGACCAGACCAGACTTCCGTAGTTATAAAATACACAGAGACCAGACGTTTACCAGACCAGACCAGACCAGTTCAGACCAGACCAGACCAGACTTAAACAGACCAGACCAGACTTAAACAGACCAGACCAGACCAGACCAGCAAATTTCAGTCCAAAAGAAAACATCCTTAGTGGCCATGGCCCATGGCCTCAAATTGTTCTCCTTTAATTTTCTACTGTGGCTATGGATCAATACGCTTGAGCTGGTTAGATATTGTCTTGGGCCAAGTACTTCTGAACCGATATCTCCTTTATCCTAGTAATTAATGTTCCTCTAACTTAAAAAATACATAAAGCAGATAACGCCGATCAGAAGTAAAAAGCTTATTAGTTTCAGGTTAAAATATTAGGGGATGTTGATAAAGCCTTGTTCATTAAATGATGAAAAAATACAAATTTAAACAGTGACTTTATCTAATATATTTGTTTCAGACACATATTAAAGTAGATTACTTGAATAATATCTAACACAACTTCAAGAATGCATGCTTATACCTTTCGCATTCCTAGCTCGGTTATTTTCTGATCTAAGAAAGGTTAATGATGATCAATTACTACCATTACATAAATTTCAAGATTAAAGCATCATAGTAGCTAATTTTGAGTGCACATACATGCGCTTTTTAAATATTGCATCATTTTATATTTCTGTGCTCTTTTGAAATATGTACTAAATTATTTGAATGCTTTGAATGTGAGAAAATTGGATGTATAGGGATAATCTTCTTCGAACTTAAGCCTTGAGGCCTCTTCTCATGTGTGCCGATGAATCAAGAAGAACACGGTGACTAGAGTTTATTGCTGCAATGGCAACACCTTGATTCTCAAAAGGCTTACCAGTTTGTTGGTTGTACCACTCATGTATAGATTTATAAAGTTGTTCTCTTGTATCCCTTGCTTTATATTGCTACATTAACATTGTATTTATCATTTTCTCTTATAAGTCCTCTTGTATTAAAATTAACATGTATCTATAACCGTTTATTTACTTTCACATGTAAGTTCTATTTAAAGTGATCTCTACATTGCCACATATGCATATCAATACATGTTTAGTTGCAAATAATAGTTATTTAGTTTGTCTCTGAATTTCACACAATTTAGTCATAAAAGTAGTATTCTTATAAAGGCAATTGGTACAACAAATAAGAATCATTAAGTGACGTTGTAGAAAGTGGAACAACCATTCGAATTAAAGATTGTTTGAAGCGAAAAAAGAAACACAAAAGTAAAGAAACAAATTGACTATGTGTTTCATTCTCTTTGGCATGTTGCTGTATTATATTACCTATTCCATGTCATGATTTACTTTGACACAATTATTAATAAAGTGGTTGAAAAATAAAACTTCTGGTTGAGATTTGATAAGATAAAGTGAAATGATAAGAGCCACCTATTTCTTACCAAAAAAGGAAATAAGACATTCATTTTGGGACAATCCAAAAAGAAAAGAAAGACAACCAAAATGAGACGAAGGGAGTATTTTTTAAAATGAGAATATTTTTTCTAACATAATTTGTCCAAGTGATTTACATACCACCTAATTGAGTAATATAAATAAATTTATTGGATGGCTAATTTTACTTGTTTCAAATTTGAATTTGTTTGTTTTTGTAATGTAGAGTCCTGATTGAGGCAGTGTTTTCCTTTGCTTTTCAAAAGCACTTTTGGTTTTTTTTTATTAAAAAAAGCTATATGGAGTGTTTGCAAAAGTAAGATTTAGCTTCAATAAAAGTGATTATAGGGCAAAAGCTGGAAACACCTCCCACCATCCTTCTATCTGCTTTTTTTGGCTTTAAGGTAAATAAAAGGTGTGTTTGCAAGGGATTAAAAAAAACACTTTTCAGCTTTTAGCTTAAAAAAAGCTGAAATTAGTGTTTTCAAATATCTGCTTCTGCTTAAATTAAGCACTTTAAAACCAAAAGCTCGAAGCTGGGGTAAGGTAGCTTTTAACTGCTTCTTGGTTTTCTTGTAAATTATTCCAACTTTAGGGATGATTATTATGATAGATATAATCCCCAAAGTCCAGAATACCCCTTATCTTTTGGCAACGACCAGCTCCTGACGTCTCTTCCTGACCTCCATCTTGCTGGCGCGTCACTTCCAAGAAAACAAGAAAACCAAGTGGCTGCTCAATAACATTTGAAGAACCCTCAAGCGAAGAACAAAATTAAAAATCAGGTCAGTGCAGCAATTGTACAAGTCCGGTAAAATAGGATTGATTAGTTCTGGTGCAACCGATTGCCTCTGAAAATTGCAGAGGTCATTTGTCTAAAAAATATATATTTATAATATATATTTATATGTATTCAGAGGAGGAAGACGATCGAGTTCGTATCTATTTGCAAAAAATCTTTCGTTGCCTTTTACATCAAATTAAAAGGTCAGAACTCTGCCCGCACAAAGCCACTCGCAAATTGGAGACGAACGATTCAGAGGAGCTAGTTGAACAGATCTCCGCCTCTTCCTTTTCAATTTGTCAATTTTTGTTATAAGGGTATTTTTGTATTTTGATAAATTATTACATCAAAAATCACTTTTCTATCAAACACTTCAACTTTTACATTTTAATCACAATCACTTCTATTCTCAAACACTACCTACTTTTACTATAAATTACTTTTCCAAAAATCTCTTAAAAAAACCACTTTTGAAAAGCACAAGCAATCGCAAACACTCCTTTGTGGGTAATTTTATCCATCCCTTTTCTCCTAATACCCAACTTTACCCTTCTCATTTCTCAACCATCCCCAATATCTCTCTGTCCTCTCCGTCTCTGTGTCGCACATCCCCTTCGAAAACTTAGTTCTTGAAGGCTGCTCCAGCCCTCTGTTGTTCAAGTTACATTGTAAACTATGGAGAAAAACTAGCACTAATCATTACAGCACAAAAGCAGCACCGTACATTTCCAGAGAGTTAAGTTTCGTTTTTGTAGTTCAGATACACATACAAACTAAATTAGAGTTGTAGGTATCAGATTATACGGAAGGAAGGGTTAGAATCGAAAAGGTTAGAATCGAGGAGCTCTGGAGTATGAGAAAGCTGTTCACATGGAAGGAAGCTGGGTTAGGTTATACAGAGCATTTCGATCGATGGGAAGGTGAACAAGAGGAAGGATATTTTTGTACATTCAGAAAAATAAAATTTCACAATCACATTCAGAAAAATAACATTCCAACTTTAACTTTTACATTTTAATCACTTTTATTATAAAACACTCCCAACTTTTACCATTAATCACTTTTTCAAAAATCACTTTTCAAAATCACTTTTTGAAAACATAGCATGAGTCTTTGGTTATATTGTTAATCCTAAGAATACTGTCAAGCAAGTGGGCGTGCCGGAGTGGTTATCGGGCATGACTAGAAATCATGTGGGCTTTGCCCGCGCAGGTTCGAATCCTGCCGCTCACGTTTCTTTTTTGTTTCAGTATTCTTTACTTCATTGAGTATTATATGTTACTCTCTATTTTTTTTTTTTTTTTTAATTTTCAGTCTTGATCTTCCATTAAAGACAGACACTAACGTCCACGGAGCTCAACGAATATACAGCCAGGAGACGGCATCACTGACGTTTTCCCGTTTCTTTTCTTAAGACTTCGCTGATAGATTTATAGATCGAACAAACATTTGGATTACACATTTGTATCACGAGTAGTTCTCTGATGAAGCCCACCAACCGATTTTATAGAAGGGAATGAAAAGGTCGAGAATTATCAGCTCAATTGTTTTACTTTCAGTCCCGCTGCGATTTCATGGCATCAACAAGCAAAAACTCGACCCCACTGGATGAGGATCAGGGAGAGGCGGTACAGTGCCATTCATTCACCATCTTATTTCCGATTTTCCCAAAAAAAAAATATAAACTTCAGTTTGTCTGCATTTGCAGTGAATGCTTCAGAATTATGTAACATCCAGTCAACTAAAATGTTGATTGATTCACTAACATGTCTGCATATAGAAAGGGTGCAATCTACTTGAATACATGATATTTGCAGTTCATATAGTGCATGGTGATCATGATCGGTCATATGCTTTTACCCATTATTTTTGCAGTTTGAATATTTTGATGATTTCACTTTGGCATCTTCATGGGAAAGGTATTACAATTCTTCAAAGCTGTCCCGATTTTTACTGCTTTCTGTGATGAGTTTGGTTGTGCATTAAGGAGTCAAATAGTCCAACCTTACTTTGATATAGGCTCATATCTGAGGTAGAGGCGGTTTGCAGACAATGGCTTGCTGATGGCCCGAGAAATTTATTGGTATGATTGGTGGGGGCTTCCTTATTTGACCTTTATGTGGAGTTTTGTTTTCGATTCTTGTCCTGCTCATTTATACAGTTCTAGATGAACCATACAGACATTTGAAGTATACATTGAAGGGAAAATATCATTACATGATTTATTTTTCTTTAGGATCTATTATTTCAATGCATATGCCTTGGATATAATACTTATATGGGTTATAAGAAGTAATCTGGAATTCTTAAATCTTCCCTCGATGTTGAATACCATTTTTCACTATTTTTCTCACAAAAAAATATTTGGCATCTCTTATATAGTGTATAATTAATTTGAATTACTATTGTCGATTTTATTTATTCCGTGTTTGTCAATTTTCTTTTTTATTACATTTTAAAAGAAGGATGCTGTTCCGTTGGAAGCCCCTGAAGGACTTCATAAGGTCAAATCTGAACTTAAGTGTGCTACTAAAAGCTATCTGATGGAGTACTATTTTGACACTAATAGTGATGGTATGCACATGTTCCATTAAAATATCCAACTCGAAAGGTTTAGTCCTTTCTTCTACCCTAACTTAAATTCAATTCGATCCAGGAAAACTCAGTGATTGGACTCATGCACTGCATGGTTTGCAGCTCTCCTTTGCGGTGAAAAACTTTCTGGTATTTCTCTTAACTTCACTCATTGTTACCATTTACATACTCACCCAGTGCATGTCACTTCTTGAACTTTAAGGAGAATGATATTCTATCTTTAGGTGATTGCTCCCCAAAGTGCAAGTGGTGTGCTTCTTGATAGACCAGAGGCCACCAAGCTGTTAAGTGCAGTTGCTATTGCACTATCCAACTGTTCCAGGTTGGTCACAGTGGAATGACGTCATGGGGAAGGGTTTGGGGGGGAGGGGGTTAAAGAGGCCCAAAGTCTAACTTTTGTCTTAAGATGTTTTTCCAAAGTATGTAAAGTTTCGCAAAGCAGGTGACTATTTTTACTTGCAAACTGCAGTTCGTGGCCCGCTTTTGTTCCAGTTCATGATCCATCTCGTAAAGCTTTCATTGGTATTCAGAATGTGGATACACATCTCACAAGAAGATTTGAGGCTGACCGTATGGGTAGTCAGGTTCCTGTGACGCTATTGCACTATGAGGGATTATTTGAGCTATTTGTTTCAAAATTTGTAAGTAATGCTCCAGTCAGAATTTTAACGTTGGTGTGAGATTTACAACTTTTGGTTTGCCCTTACTCACCTGTTTTAGTAATTTCTTTGCCCTTACTCAACTTTTGGTGTGAGATTTTGCACGATTCTTTGTTTTAGTAATTTCTGAAAACCTCTTTCGGCTATGCCCTTACTCACCAGTTCTTTTGTCTTTTTCTTTAACTTATGAAAATAATTTTGAGAGTGATTCATTGCTATCATGGTATCACCTCTGCTGTTTTAATCATATAACTTTCATGTGATTAGTTTCCAGAGGGGCAGGTGTTTCTATGACAAGCCTTAGTTTGGTTCACCTCTCAACTGAAGAAACATGTCTTAATTCTATCTGTTATGACAAAGTTATAAATTGAGAAATCATCTTTTATCAAATGGCACCTAGAAATTCAAATAGAAACGTGTATGATGTTTTTGCAAGTGGATATAATGTATTCTGTGCGTATATTGTATCCAAATAATACTTAATTACATTAGGCTTATGTTTGAGCTGAGCCTGAAATTTCTTAGGCCAGGCAGTCTCAGTAAACGGTTTATTTTTTGTTGTTGTATAACTCAATGTCTGCATTATGTGTATGCTCATATTTATTACTACATTAGTACTGACAAATACCACTCTTTGTGCATGGTTTGCTCCAAATTTATGCTCAAGGCCTTCAATACGGATTTTTCAATGCATCTTTTTAAAGTGAACCTCAAGGTTAAGCTGACCTACAAGTCGCTTCCCAGTGATGATGAGGATGATACCCAAGAAAATGATGCTGAAAAACTAGAATCTGATGAGGGTCCTATAAACTACAGGCATAACAAGACACAGTGGGATGATGATTGCCCTTGGAGTGAATGGTACACAGTTGAGGACCCAATAAAGGGTACATTTTCCTCTGATATTTTCATCTTTAATTTACTTGATATGCTGAATATTGTTTATGTTTCCCAACTTTTGACATTTTTGGCCTGGTCACAATTACTTAAATATAATTTACTTGTCACATTGACTGATAGAGTTATATGTAGCTTATTAGCTTATATGTGAGTACATTTGTTGAGGCTTCATTTTGAGGCTAACAGAGGCCAGCTAATCTAGATTATCATCATTCACCTGAACTTATAAATTGTAATTTGCAGTTAACTAGATCAGATGGATTCTGGTCTATGGAAATTATAGCGTATTACCCATTCTTTTTTAACTGGGTAACAATGGAGTTTGTAATTTGCAGTTAACTAGATCACATGATTATGATCTACAAATTTTTTAAATGTATTACCCTATATCATAAGATTCACTGTAGCCTTTTTATTTATGCTGTTGCATCTATTGGATGATATCATATATTTCCATACCCTTTTGGTGGTGCATGACATCTATTCTCTGAGTTACTTGTTGCAGGAATTGAATTGTATGCTCTATGGCCTGAGAAAACAGTTGGAAGCTCTGCAGATATGGCGGAATTTGAAAATGCTTCACCCTTTGATGCTGAGAAGTGGTTGATATCTCCAAATTTATCTGAGGCTCTGTAAGAAACTATCTTGGTACAGTTTCAAATTATTGTGATATTTCCTATCTTATCCAGACAGACGGAACTGCAATAGTGAAATCTGCAATCGAAGTACTGAAGAATGCTACATATAAATTATAACATGGTTCTATCCTATAAAATAATTAAGCTTTTCAAGTACTATGATATTATCTGGAACATTGCATTTTTGTGCTCTGCAATATAATTGATTGCTATAATCTGAGGGCAATGCATTGTTGTGGTTGGCTTACTACTCATCTTATATCTGTAGAGCAAGTCACCCACTCTCACTTCATGCTAGTTTATTTGCTTGGTATCTACTTAAGTTAAAAAATAATAATGCGCAGCCGCATTCTTGTTGTATCTCTTGATAATTAACCTTGATGTTTGACAATTGAACTTTTCATACTTCTCTGGAATTGTTGTAATTTAAATCCCTGCTTCATACAGCAGAAATAATCGGAAAACCATTGGATTTGCATCACAATTGCATTGTTTAGTTGCTGCTCTGGATAAGTCATTTCAGGCTCAATTCATAGAAGATTTTGTATCAGGTACGAAAATGTGTGGGTTGCAAATATTAGAATTTTATTATTTATATTTAACTGTTTTTTGTAAATCTGCTTGTCGTTAAGTTAGAAATTACAACTTACAGTGATCTGATTAAGATCGCGCGTGCATGACCCAGTAAGAGAAGGGAAGAGACGGGTTGTTGGGTGTTGGGGGATCTATGATTCAAACCAGACTTAAGAAAAATGAAAGAACGCATGATTCAGAATTAATCTGGTGCCCTTCCTTGTCAAGATACGTTAGAATTCATTCTCCCAAAAGTAGTTTAATAAATGAACCGAGAAACTCTATATATAGCTATTACAAGAATCCAAAACAGAAAGGGAAACATAGTTCTTGTACTAGTATAAATGATTCAAAAAGAGAACTGCTAAAACTGAACTCAGGAAGATGTCATCATCATTACCCCAGTGCTGCAAAGGCTCCCACCTACGGTGGTGTAAGGAAGGTCAGATGTACGCAATCTTACCCTTGTACTAAAGCACAAAGAGACTGTGTCCAAATGACCCATAGTGAAAGTCGCGTCGAAAATTGAATGGACTGACTGCTGCTTCATAACAAAGAAGCTGATACAAAGCAGAATCTGGGCTTGGAGGAAGAGGGGCAGAAGCCCCCGTGGGTTTACTGAGGACGGGCTTGACCCACCTTCGTGGGCTGCTTGTGGGCCATTTAATTAATTTTTAATTCTTTATAATATTCCTTATTTGTTTCCTATTTGGAGTTAATTAGGATTTCTACTATTTGTTTCCTATTTGGGAGTTAATTAGGATTAATTCTTTTAGCCCATTCTTGTAGTATCCCAAATAATGATCATCGGACAATCCCGCAACTTGGCTGGCCAATTGAACAAACACAGTATTGTAGTCCTCCAATGATCCAATCTGTTTGGCGCCGGACAGCCGTTCAAACCTGTTCCCCTTAAATCGGGAGTCGAATCTGGCCACCAAAGCTTGCTTGAATTCCTCCCAGGTCATGCGGGTTTGCGTGCTCTCAGCCATGTTACCCAATAGAGGGCAGACCCTTCCATGGCAACCACAACCGCTGCCACTTTTCTGTCTGGTAGGGTCCTGTTGAGTTCAAACTGTTGTTCAACCCGAGCCAACCATCCGATCGGGTCTTCTCCATCGAACGTTGGCATCAAGGTTGGCGTGGAGTTGCGTGAATATCCGTCGCCACTGTGTGCCGTTACCGCGGTACTGGAAACCGCGACCGAGGAGGTTTCCACCGTTACCGGCGGTACGAGTGCCTTGGTGAGCGCCGCCAGTGATGCTGCGATCTCGGTCAGTATCTTTAGGAAAGCTGCCACTCGATCCCTTGAAGCTGCCACCACTTATGGCCGTGTTGTTACCGTCACTCGGGCTCGAAAAACTGTCCGAACGCAAGTCCTTGTTGTAGGGTTGGCTTTCTCGGCCTCCATCTTTGTCAAGCGATCGCTCTGAGATCTCGTCATTCCAGCGGGATGGGATCCGGCAGGTCGGACCAATTGATGAGAGCAGAAAATAAAAATCAACGGAATAAACCATTGCCCAGAATAATCAACGGTAGAAACCGTTGCCCAGAGCCAATAGCTTGAAATCCAATTTTTTATTAATTGATAAGCAGGAATTAATCCTAACAAGGGGTTTAAATTCCCATCTACTAATTCCCAAACTAGGAAATAAAATCATAGAAATCCTAATCAACTCCAAATAGGAGACAGAATAATAGAGATCCTAATCAACTTCAAATAGGAAACAAATAATATAAATCCTAATTAACTCCAAATAGGAAACAAGTAATAGAAATCCTAATTAACTCCAAATAGGAAACAAATCAGGAAAATGATAAAGAGATAAAAATTAATTAAACAGCCTGCAACCAGCCCGTCCCCGCCTTCAGTAAAACCCACGGGGGCTTTGATAAAACACTGGTAGTAATTCGATTCAGAACAATTGAAACAATCAAAGGAACTTGTTCAAGAACAATTTGCAGAATCTGTCTTATTGAACAAGAATTGAATTCAAAGAAGGAATACAAGCAATAGGCAATTCGAGCTGCCAAAACTCCCAGACCAGTCCCAATTAACAAAACAGCCTACCTATCCCTGGCTGATTATTTCTATTTATACTCATAGTCCACGCAGGGACATAACTGGACCTACATAACAGCAAGTCTAACTAACTAACTGTTTTATACTTCCTCCTTTGATAGACCTTTCTAAAGAATTTATCGGGCTGCTGCTCCTTGTCTCTATCATCACTCCCCCCCTGAAATATCACCTTGTCCCCAAGGTGAAAATCTGGAAAGAATTTCTGTAATTCTTGCAGAGGTTCCCAAGAATTCTCAAAGTCAGGTAACTCCTTCCACTTTATCAGCACCTCAATTACCCCATCCTTGTTTCTTCTGGCCTCCAACACCTTTTCAGGTGTAACTTGTAATTCTAAATCCTCCTTCAGGCATTTGGGTAATGGTTGAAAGAAAGTTGTAGGTGGTATGGTCTTTTTTAACAAAGAAACATGAAAGACAGGATGTATTTTACTGTCTTCTGGCAGTTTCAACTTGAATGCCACCTCACCTATCTTCTCCTTTACTTCAAAAGGCCCATAAAACCTTGGGCTCAGTTTCTGGTTCATTCTTTTAGCCAAACTCTTTAGCTTATAGGGCTGGATTTTAAGATAAACAAAATCCCCAATGTCAATCTGTAATTCTGTACTTCTCTTCTATGCTTGTTTGCCTGCTGCCTCATTTGATTCTGAGCTCTTGCAAGATTTTCTTTTAACTCCTCCAACATACAGTTTCGCTGTGCAGTCAATCTGGATACCTCCTCCACAGTAGTTAGACTGACATCCCCTCTAATTACTGCAGGAGGTTCTTGTCCAAACAATGCTTTATAAGGTGTTTGTTTTAAGGAAGCATGAAAGTTAGTATTATACCAAAACTCAGCCCAATGTAACCATTGACTCCATTGTTTTGGTTTGCTACCTGTCAAACATCGCAAATAGGTTTCTAAGCATCTGTTGACTACCTCGGACTGACCATCCGTCTGAGGATGATAAGCTGTACTGTATTTAAGTTGAGTGCCTGCCAACTTAAAGATCTCAGACCAAAAAGAGCTCATAAAGAGGCTGTCCCTGTCGCTGACTATGGTTCTACGAAACCCATGAGTTTTAACCACCTCCTTGGTAAAAACTTCTGCTACTTCCTTCGCATTGAAGGGATGCGCAAGTGCTATGAAATGGGCATATTTAGTCAGTCTGTCCACCACAACTAATATGGTGTCCTTCCCATTAGATCTTGGCAGTCCACCAATAAAATCCATCGTAATATCAGTCCAAATATTGCTGGGAATTGGCAGAGGCTGTAATAAACCAGAAGGTTTCAAAGCTTGATATTTATTTGTTTGGCAAACTGCACAACTTTCCACAAATTTCTGGATATCTTTCCTCATTCCTTGCCAAAAGAACAAATTAGATATTCTTTTCATTGTTCTAAAGTATCCAGAATGTCCTCCAATTGGAGAATCATGATACTCCTTCATGATCTTCAGAATTCTAGGAGAATCCTGAGGTAACATCAGCTTGTTTTTATAATATAACAGTCCTCTTTTGATCTGAAAATCCTTGTACTGGTCTGGAAAAGAAACTGTTTTCTGTATCAAGGCTTGGCACTTGGGATCCTTGCTCAATTCTTCCTCTAAGCCCTCCCATTCCTGGCAGTTAACCATAGAAAGTGGAAACAATGAAGGTCTTCTAGATAGTGCATCTGCTGCTCTATTCTCAGCCCCTGGCTTATACTTGATGATAAAATTATACCCCAAGAGTTTAGAAGTCCACTTTTGTTGCTCCTCTCCCAATAGTCTTTGGTCAGTTAGGAATTTAAGACTTTTTTGGTCAGTATGAATCTCAAAGGTCCTTCCCAATAAGTAGGGTCTCCATTTTTGTACTGCCAACACAATTGCCATCAGCTCCCTTTCATAAACTGATCTGTTTTGGTTCCTTTTAGATAGTTCTTTGCTCATGAATGCTAATGGCCTTCCTTCTTGCATTAGTACTGCCCCCAAGCCTGTCCCAGATGCATCAGTTTCAATAGCAAAAGGTTTATTAAAGTTGGGAACTGCCAAAACTGGTAGAGAAATCATTGTTTTCTTCAGTTCTTCAAAAGCTTCAGTAGCCTTCCAATCCCAATTGAAATTGTCTTTTTTGAGAAGCTGAGTGAGTGGTGATGCAATTTTACTGTAGCCTTTCACAAATTTTCTATAATAGCCTGTTAAACCCAAAAAACCTCGCAGCTCTTTCAAATTTTTGGGTTTTGGCCAACTCATCATAGCCTCAATTTTGGATGGATCTGCAGCAACTCCCATCCCTGATATAATGTGTCCCAGGTATACCAATGTAGGTTGTCCAAATGAACATTTTTTTGAGATTTAACACCAACTGGTTATCTCTTAGGGCAGATAACACTGCCCTCAAATGTTCAATGTGGTCCTCATTGGTTTTACTGTACACTAAAATATCGTCAAAGAAGACTAGCGTAAATTTTCTCAAGAAAGGCCTTAATACCTGATTCATCAAGGCTTGAAATGTAGACGGGGCATTAGTCAAACCAAAGGGCATCACCAGATATTCGTAGTGCCCTTCGTGTGTCCTGAAAGCAGTCTTCTTTCGATCCTCTTCTTTCATTCTTATCTGGTGGTACCCAGATTTTAAGTCAAGCTTAGAAAAAATCTTTGCGTCCCCAAGTTCATCCAATAGCTCCTCTATTATAGGTATGGGAAATTTATTAGGAACTGTGATTTTGTTAAGGGCTCTGTAATCCCCACAGAATCTCCACCCTCCGTCTTTCTTTTTGGCTAAGAGTATTGGGCTACTATAGGGACTGGTGCTATGCTGAATGATTCCAGATTGCATCATCTCTTGTACAATCTTTTCTATTTCTGCCTTTTGATACTGTGGATATCTATATGGTCTAATATTTGGTATCGTAGCACCCTCTTGTATATTGATAACATGGTCACAGTCCCGGCTAGGAGGTAGTCCTTGCAAAGGTTTTGATATTTCTGGAAATTCTGCAACAATTTTATCCCAATTTGTATCCAGGTCTGCTCCTTTCTTCTCCTTGTCTACCTCCCCTTCACAATAGACAAAATACCCATCTCCATTGTCTTGGATGATCTGTGATAGAGTCTTTAATGAAACCTCCATGGAATTCAGTTTTGGTTCCCCTTCAATAGCTTTGTCCACACCTTGCTGCTTCCATTTAATTGTTTGCTTTTGGAAGTTTATTTCCACATCACCTAAACTGGTGAGCCATTCCAACCCCAGAACCATATCAGTTCCTCCCAAACTGAGTATATAAAAGTTCTGCGTGATATCAGTACCCTGCAAGCTCAAAATCAACTGCTCACATCTTCCATTATTCCTTATCTTTTCCCCATTCCCAATCTGTACTTGATATCCTGCTATTGTTGTGAAAGGTAGGTCCAACTGTTCCACTAATTTCTGTGAAATGAAATTATGTGTGGCCCCACTATCAATCAAGATTTCTACCTGTTGATCTCCTTTATTCCATTTCAGATTCCCTGTCACTTTAAAAGCTCTCATGGTAGGTATCCCCTCCTTACTCATGAGAGATAACTGTAGAGATTTCGACTCCATTTCTTCTTCAATTTCTTCTTCTGAAATCACAGGTTCCACTATATCTAAATCCCCTTCATCTTCTGAATCTTCCACCAACATTAACTTGTAGTTTTTCAACTTACAAGTGTGCTCTTTATTCCATTTATCTCCGCATTTAAAACACAGACCTCTCCTACTCCTTTCCTGATATTCTTCATGAGTTAATTGGGGTCCCACTTTCTTTATTCCAGAAGGATGTATTTCTGTGAATTTCTTCCCCATAGCAGTGAAACCCCTAGGATTGCTACTGCCTTCCCCTGCACCTTTTCCCATGTGACCATATCCAGAACTTCCAACTTTGTTTTTATAGCTGTCACCCCAATATTGATGTTTGGCAGTAGTATTTTCCTTTTCCTTCATTCCACTTTTGTCTTCCTCTTTCTTTTTGCCTTGAACTATAACATTCTTGTCCTCTATCCATGTAGCCCTATCCATGATTTCAGATAAGGATCTTGAAGTATGCAATTTCAACTCTGCCTGGATTTCTTCCTTTAAACCTTTTATGAAGACTCCTCTCAACAGTTCTCGGTCCATGTTCTTCTGATGTGAAATTACCTTCTCAAATTGTACTCGGTAAGCCTCAACTGATCCTGTTTGCTTCAAACTCAGCATAGGACCATAAGGATTCTGAGTTAATTCAGGTTGGAACCTGCGGACAACCGACTTCTTCAATGTTTCCCAGTCAGTTTCTTCTGTCTGATTTTCCCAAACATTAAACCAGTTTAATGCCTTATCTTCCATCGCCACCATAGCTGCTTCTACTTTTTCCTCTTCCTCAATATTATTCAACCTGAAGTATCTTTCCATACGAATTATCCAATTGTAGGCATCGATTCCATTGAACAGAGGTAAATCGATTTTTCTACCAAATTGAGCAGATACACGCCGATGATAAGTCGTATGAGAATGGACAGAAATACCTCTCGAGCTGGTAGGACTGCTCGATTCTGGAGATCGTTGATGATGCCTGGATCGCGTTTGCCTGGATCGTGTTCTCCTCCTATCGTTTGATCCATTCATCGCGTCCAACCTTTCCGATAAAGCCGCGATTGCCGTCTGAACCTGCGACAAAGTCTCCTGCGTCGCTATATGGTTGCGTTCCATCGTTGCATGATTTCTTTCCATCGCCATGTGATTACGTTCCACAATTTCCAATCTCTGTTCCATTTTTGCTCTGGTACGAACCATTCACCCAATAAGGCGGAAAAAAAATTCTGGTAATCTTCAACGTCAACTTAGGTCACCAAAATGATGCTCTGATACCAATGATAAAACACTGGTAGTAATTCGATTCAGAACAATTGAAACAATCAAAGGAACTTGTTCAAGAACAATTTGCAGAATCTGTCTTATTGAACAAGAATTGAATTCAAAGAAGGAATACAAGCAATAGGCAATTCGAGCTGCCAAAACTCCCAGACCAGTCCCAATTAACAAAACAGCCTACCTATCCCTGGCTGATTATTTCTATTTATACTCATAGTCCACGCAGGGACATAACTGGACCTACATAACAGCAAGTCTAACTAACTAACTGTTTTATACTTCCTCCTTTGATAGACCTTTCTAAAGAATTTATCGGGCTGCTGCTCCTTGTCTCTATCAGGCTTCTTCCCCACTTCCTCCAAGCCCAGATTCTGCTTTATATCAGAAGCGCTGTAGTTTAGTGAGCCATTTTACTTTATTCCATCATATTTCCAAGCCAAAAAATAGTGAGTCTTTGGCTCCATCGTAAATGATGGAAATTTGAACTCAGGAAGATGTAAACTAATTAATTAAGTTTTCTCCTCAAGTTAGCCACTCTTGATGGTTTCCTTGGGCTGAATTTCTCAAGGTCGATCACCCCTATGGCCCAAACGATGCCTTCAATATTTTTGGCCATAGAGTTTGTCCATCAACAGTATGACGACTTTGATCTTTGATTTGCTTTTCTGGCAGTTGAGAAGTCTGGCTCTGAAGGTTTAAAGTCTACTGCTGTCGTACCTCCACCAACAGTTCTTGATCGTGTGCTCAAAGATCTTTTTAATGAGGGTACATAAACGTTCTTCTTAGATATGCACTATTTTCTTGCTTTTGGTTACAAAAGATGATTGGTTGTCAAAGAGTGATAATTTTTTTTTGCACTTAGTATCTGTTTAATGTTAGTCGCTTTGAGATGGAGTAGACAAACTTGATGTGAATCTACTTTTTATTTCATGAATAAACATGCCACATTATGCTGTCAAAACTCAAGTTGGACTTTTGTGGCTAACCTTTTGTTGATGGCACAAGATTTACTTTATTAAGTTTGAATATTGGCCGTCCTTTCCAAGTTTTGACTGTGATTTTGTTTGTACTGTAGCTAACCAATTATGGTGCTTTCGGAAAAATCTGAGCCGTAATGCTTTTATTTATTTACATATTTTATTGTTTTATTACTTCTATGTTTTTTTGAATTTCAGAAGTTAGACCTTTATAAATGAAGGGAGTTCTTAACCTCGCATTTTCTTTTTGTTCTACTGTGTTAATTAGCTGATGATGTGCAACTTGGTTCCCCTGAAGACGAGCATAAGAGTTCTCGAGCCATCAAAGGCGCCCCTCTTCAATCACTTTTTGCACAGTTCTGTCTTCATGCTCTATGGTTTGGAGATTGCAATATACGGGGTATCAATTAAGTTTCTTGTGTTGCTACTTGCTAGACAGCTAGAGTTGTTTCCTTAACAAAATAAGTCTTGTTTTGAATATTTATTGATAGGTTATTCTTACTGCTTAGGCTGTTTTAATGAATCAGTTATTTACTTTACTTATCTACATATATGCTTTTGCAAACCTTTTTGCTAAAACATACCCCCCACCGTTTTGTGTAACTTTTCCCCAGCTATTGCTGTACTCTGGATAGAGTTTGTAAGAGAAGTTCGTTGGTGTTGGGAAGAGTCACAACCATTGCCCCGAATGCCAGCAAATGGTGTAATTGACTTGTCAACTTCTTTGGTTAATCAGAAATTGCACATGGTAAGATCGCGATCTCTATAACTGGGCTCTCTCTATATCTTGTTTATAGTTTATATTTATATTTATAAACACCTGGGTTCTTGGGTTCTTGTTCAATCAAATAAAAAAGTACGGTCTATGTTTTGTTGATGTTTCTCTATCTCGAACTTCCTTCCATGGATGCACACATGTGTAGGTAGATAAAAACTCTTAGATTACTTGAAAATTTAAGACTACGTAGGACCTTAAGGTTCTGTTTGAAGGAGGGATTTGGAAGGAGGGTGTAGTCTAGAATATGTTAAAAGATCCAACCTGAATGGAATAACCTAGAAACTAGTGACCCATTCACAAAGTTGTGCATGCTACCTTAACCCACAAAAAGGACAAATTGTAAAAACCCGCCCAGTACAAACCTGGCCTGGACCAGGAACCGCTAAAAACCGGTCGTGTCTTAAACCAACTATCGAGAAGATTAAAACTTTGTTTTGGAATGTTATGTCTATTACGAGTCTAACTATTGGTTATGAAGATTAATAATTTTGTTCATTTAATTTGATACACTCCCTCCATCCCAAATTTAACATGCCAGTCTGAATGGCACAAAGTTTAATAATAAGAAAATTGTGAGTGGATAACTTACGGAGGGAGGTAGTATAATTATATGTTAGTTATTTCTTATTTATTGGTGAACGTTACCATGCTGACCAGCATTGAATAGATTGACCTCGTGATCCAGTCACTTGAACAAGTCAATTTCTTGATCAGATTCTGAAAACACAAGAGTTCATATAACATTTCAATAACCTTTTACTACCTCCGTCCCAAATTAATGGTGACACTTCGTGTGGGCTCTTAGATTTAGAAAATGATATAAAATGCCTAAACTATCCTTTACTTTTACTGTAGCAATGAAAAAGTAAGTAAAAAATGGAATGAAGAAGTTGTAGATTTAAGTAAAAGGAAGGGTAAAGTATGGATGTTGTGTAGTATCATTTGCCAAAAAAGGAAACATAACATTTACTTTGGGACAGGCGAACAGCCCAAAAAGGAAATACGTAACTTTATTTTGGGGTGGAGTATTAATTTTTAGAAACAATTCATCAGGATACAGATTAAGCCCTCCTCTCCAAATCCTCCATCCGAACAAGTACTTCACTCTTCATTTACTCAAAGTATGAAGGATGAAATATGTACTCTTTGTATATTTCAACATTATGAACAAATTAGAGGTTCTATAAGGTTCTATAAGGTGCTTGTTGTGAGATCTTTAAACATTCTGTACTCTTGCAAGTATCATGCTGTCCATTCTTTTGCAAGTTCTAGTATGGTGTGTGATGGGATCTGATTATTTTGTAATGGAAAGTAAATCTGTGTCTACCTATTCATTTTCCATCATACCAAACATTTTGATTTTTGGTGTAATATTATCAAATTTATCTTAAATCCACTCACTTTCCATGGAATTAAATCAATAATTCAGTAGATGAAATGAGGGGAAATGTATAAGCGCATTCCCATGAAAGTCAAGGAAATTCTTTTTGGCCATTTTGTGGAAAAATTGAATGTATTGTTTATGCTGTTAAGTCACCATTCCATCTCACCAGTGCAATAGTGGGAGCATCAGGTTTCTGGCCAAATGTATATATTATATCTATGTAACATTCACTATGCGCATTGGTTTCCAGCTTGCGATTTGCATAAGTAAGAAACAGCAACAGAACCGAAGGCATCATGAAGAAGGTGAAAACCATGATATGCTTCGTGCTCATGTAAAGGTAGTATGTCCTCATTTATTTGTTATCCATAGGGAAAATAGTCTTTTTTCCATTAAAGACTATTTAAGATTTTTTATGCCCAATTTCTTAACAAGTTATAATGCAAGTGAAGTGCAGGAAGATAATGATGTTCAGAGAGAGGTATATTCTGATGGAGTCGTGCATGATTCTCTTGGGGAACGTAAGAGGTGAAATGCAAGTGAGAACTTTTATGTAATTTATGTTGATAGCTAAGTTGCTAACTAATCTTGTATTTTTCTACTTGGTTACCCTTCCTGAAATTATGTTCCCTTTTCGACTCAATTTTTTACTGTCAGCTGTATGATTGAAGTTCCACTATCAATGAGTTGTGTACAATTTCATGATTTTTCATCATATGTGTCGGTCTAAATACAACATAAGGGTTTATGCCCAAAGGATCAACCCAAAGACCAAGACTAATGCTAAGTAAGGAATGTGCAATATATGTATTGAACAATAGGGAAAACTGAAGCCAACGCTCCGGTTACACTCAACTATTAAGGTTTTAGTACCCTTCCCTCTCTAATCTTGCTAGCCCTATTTGATTGTCTGAAAATCGACCCCTTGGCCAGCCAGCCACTGGGACTGGTACGTACTTACTGAGGCTTCAGCCTGCAAGCACACAAGTCACGCTGTACATTCTTCCCCTAACTGTTTCGAGCGCGTGGCCCGACTCACTGGACAACCAGGCCACATGTAGATTGGTAGTGACTCCTTAGCACGTTCCACCTGTTTTTCTGGTTGTATATATGTATCGGATTAAAAGCAGCAATTACTGACTCATTTTAAATAATTTAAGTACCCTAATCTTTCCTATGTTATTCACTTTTGTTCTTTCACATTTTGGAATCGTAATTTTGTCAAATTCCTTTTTCTGTCTTAATATTGAGTATTTTGTATGTCTGGTATTTTCGGAGATCGTCTGCTTAGTGATCCCTCTGATATTGACCAAAATCCTTCAAATATATTAGGAGAGGATCTGCTGGTAAAGTGGGCTCAATGATGCTTCTGAAATCACAACAAAGCATGCACACTCCATACACCCAGGTTAATCTACACTTAATTTAACTAGCCTATTTTCTTATGCTTTTATCTCTCTGATATTTTTATCCCCTTGAGTGATGTATGCTTTAAATCCACACACACGGAGTGATATAGAAAACTTTTATACTTTATAGGATCCACTGCTTATGACTGAGGACATGCATGAAGAACGTCTCCAGGCAGTTGAAGCTTTTGGCAATGCCTTTGTAAGTCCAATGATACTAATAAATATTTTCTCCAGATGTTTTGCTATGAGATTCATGCATGTATTTCTTTTGAATCTCTTCTATTCATTTTGAAAGGAATTAATGCAACCTAGGACACACATTGAAAAAACTGTCATATCTGGCAGTGGGAGTCTATTTTTCTTTAGAATAATAATTACAAGCATATCCCTCATAGACCGTCCATCTTGAAATCATGATGATACATGGCATCCTAATATTTGTGTGCTTGTAGACAAATCTTAAACTATCATTGTGGTGACACCCTTTATCATTCAAGGCATCCTAAAGTTGGATGGGACTCCACCTTGCAATATTTTCATGCCACATGATATCATATTTGGCTTTTCCATCATTTGCAATGGAGCCAAAGATTCACTATTTTTTGGCTTGTGAGTATGATGGAATAAAGCAAAATGGCTCACTAAACTGTTTGCGCTTCTTTGTTATGAAGCAGCAGTCAGTCCATGCATTTTTGGACGCGATTTTCACTTTGGGTCATCCGGAAACAGTCTCTCTGTGCTTCAGTACAGGGGTAAGACCGCGTACATCTGACCCCCCCTTACCCCACCGTAGGTGGGAGCCTTTGCGGCACTGGGGTAAATGATGATGATGATGATGATGATATCATATCTGGCAATATGCGGCAGTCTACCCGTCTCTCTAGATAAATTGTGTTTATGCGTGTGTAAATACAAGTAAATTAGTAAGGCATAGTGAAAGACTGCCAATACTGAGTTTACTAACCTTTCAAAACTAATGACATGAGAATTTAAAGTTTAAGTTTTATGATAAAACAATCAACCATTATATTGTATATAATATAAAATATACACGCTTTTTATTTGTAATGCTTGTTGCTAATAATAGTATATTTGACTGAAAAGAAAGTGATATTTCAAAATTTCAGAATAGCTACACACCACACACACATCATGTGTTCGTCATACGAGTGTATACATAAATCAGTATCCAGTGCATAGAACAGGTTATTGTACTTCTTTATTCCAAAATGGAAAGGGATACTTAGGAGTCGCTTAATATTATTTCTTTTTCAGTAGCCGTTTCAATCCCTACACTTATCTTACGATCTCTATGTGCCTACATAGGCGCAATTCTTTCTTTGATATGAATATCTTGTATTTTGATGATGAAGTTGTACACTTTTACTTTTACTTTACAGAGCTTTTCAGCCAAGTTGGAAAAAGAGGTTCTGTCATCAGGTATCAAGGTCTTGCTCTTGTACAAGAGTCCTGAATACTTTAAACCTCTTTCTAATTTTGGAAGACGGCTTACACATCCTTTTTACATGAAGGATATAGCATTATTATTTATGAATTCATAGTGAAGTAAATATGGGTTTAGTTTATGCTTTAAGCATATGATACGTGGTATGGTGGCTCTTCAGTGGGTATTTTCATAATTTCATAAGACATGAAGATAGTTTTTGCTTGAGAAAAAAACTTGATGACATTTTGGCAATGAAAAATCATGCTGACTGAAATACTTTGTTTTATTTCTTTAATTGCGTGAAGTCTTTGACTATTGAAGTACCTTTAGAATTATTGTATCATATTCCTATTTTTGTAAGTTTATTAGTGTGAATCAGATTATCCTTAGCTAAGTTCCATTATCATGTATTGTGATCTCAGTGCCATTTTTAAAAAATGACCTCAGTGTGTCTGTGTGTGTAATAAATACTGATAAAGGATAGTCCTACTATGTTATGTGAGCCAGATATGTCTGCATTTAAAGCAGCAAATCCAGATGCTGTATTTGAAGATTTTATCAGATGGCATTCACCTAGAGACTGGGAAATCAGTGATAATGAAGCAATGGGAGGGTCAAGAGAAGAGTGGCCTCCGCAAGGAAGACTTTCAGGAAGAATGTCAGATAAAGGGAATTCTTGGAGAATAATTTGGAACGAAGCCCTCCCTTTGCCAGCTTCTGAACAGAAACCTCTTCTGGATCCAAATCGTGAAGGTGAAAAGGTACTCCAATTATTACATGTTTACATCTCGATATTAACTTTCTCATTTTTCCGTGTTCCACATTGAGAAAAACTAGGTTGTAGTTCTCTTTTGAGTTTCGTGGTTATAGACTTATAGTTCCTCAGTTTACTTCAAAGCTCTAATTGCACATTTATTTACTTCATTTTCTAGACGCACAGAACATACTGTCATTCGTTGCTTTATAAAATATCACAAATTGCATGTCGTGGGTAGTTCAGTCTTAGAGGAAAAGGAGGACAATAAATTTTTTATTTTCTCAAGGTATGTCTGGATCTAGGAAAATGCGAGAGCATGGAAAATGCTGAAGACAGTTATTGTTGGGAATTCCTCTGGATAAGTGCAATGAAAAATGAATTATGATTTGTTTATTTAGACTTCACATATATTTTGATTCTATAGTCTTTATGTAATACTTGTGATGCACATAAACTCTTGGGAAGGAGTATGCTTGTGTTTCACAACCTCTAGTGATTCTTCAAACACTCCAGTTCTCTTGTTTTTCAATTGAAAAATGTCATTTCCCGTTTCATAATATAATACTCCCTCCATTCCAAATTAGTTATCTCACTCGGATTACGAGGCTTCCCCAACGGTAAAACTAATTTCTTCTACATAATACATTGTATGTATAATTGTATACAAGTATTAGTATTAAAATTTACATGTTTAGAAACTGAGCTATAAATTCTATTTATTGAGTTCAATATTTCCTTCTAAATTTTCTTATCAAACTATCCTTTAGAAATACCTCTCTATTTTCTTCCCCTTGTATTTTCTTTGCTCCATACGGATCCTTTAGGTTTATGAAAGATCTGAAGCTGGTTTTTATTCAGTGAGAATTGTAGGCATTTGCTTTTCTTATAAAATTTTGAACCACATATCTAATATTTTGTATCATTTTAATTGCAACAGGCTCTTCATTATTTAGAAACTTTGCGACCTAATCAGTTGTTGGCCCAAATGGTTTGCACTTCTTTCAGAGCAGCAGCTGACACACTAAAGCGGACAACTTATGGAAGTTTGAAACATATGTCAACAAAAATTGACCAACTCTACCTCACCTTGGCATCAACCTTGAGATGCTTCCAAAGTATTATTCTTTCTTTCCTTACAATTCTCTTCTTGTTTTCCTCCCTTAGTTATTTCCCTCGTATGTTGACTATTCTCTGTGTTCCAAAATGGACCCTTAACATTGTAGTTGTAGACTTGTAGCAGCTTTCCAACAGTTCTTTGGTTTTGACCCCTTTTTGCAGAAAACAGTCTTTCAGTTGATCATGAAATTATTGATGACCTGAACCGGCTTTCTTCCATCTTTGAACATGTGGAGAAGTTGGTCACCTTTGCTGCTTCTCTTCATCGTAAGTTCATGCAGGCCCCACGCTTGTCTGAAGCAATTTTCAATGACTATTTCAACTTCTATATTCCTAGAATGGGAACTGCCTCAGCTGGAAATTATACCAAGGTTAGGCATACATCTTTCCTTGTTTATGTTAACTATTATCTCTTGCTCATCTTTAATTGGACTGTTAGAGTGCTTTGAAGGGAAGTGGAGCAACGTTGAGGATAATGTGTGTTTGGTTGTGAGAGTTGGAGTGTAAGGGGAGGAAGGTGGATGAGCTCTGTAGAGGTTGTTTGGGATAGCTTATTGTATCAGTGCTTTCTCATTGAAGTGCTTTTCTGAAGAGAAAAACACCAATCTGCTCCTTTGTTTAATAAGCACATTCTTTTACTGTTCAAAACACTTTTTCTATTTTGTTGGCTTGTTGCCAAACCTTCTGAAAGTACTTTTCTTCATCACAGAAGAACATACTTCTGAAAGCAAGTCATCCGTAACGCTCTCATTGACTCGTCCCAACTCTTCACCCCCCCCCCCCCCCCAATCCTCCCAAATTGGGAGGTTTCGGGGAAGCTATGTACTTCTTCATGCTTTTTTAAGTTTTTAATCAAAGTTGATCTAATTTATTATATTTATGCAAAGGAAATGCATACCTCCTAACTATACCTCAGTGAGCTTGCTTACATCCAACTCTTTTTGTGACTAATTGTTTCAATCCTTCTTTTTAATAAATTTTCTGAAAATGTTTTATGATCGGCGGTATATTGATTTTTTTTTGAAAAACTGTTATCTTTTATAGACAAGGGAATACATGTCCCGAATTTACACTTTTTTTGTCTAATTGTTTTGAAAAATTGTTCAGGGATAGATATGTTCTCTAAAGTATAAGTCATGGAGTATATATTTGTTTCTTCTAAATATTTTTGTTTCTTCTCCCTTGTTACACATATAGATTACATATTTTTATTATGCAAAACATATGTTCTCTAACGAAGATTACAACAAATATTTTTTTGTAAGTATGTTTTTAAAACAACAATTCCTCCTCACTGATCCATTGTACTAAACATTACACCGCTTTGAACTCATCTATTCTCTTGTCCTCTTGTCGCCCCAATTCTCCTCCCTTCCCATCGAACCAAACATAGGCTTAGCCAAAGGGTGGGTCTGGGGCGCAACTGTGGAGTCTCAAATGTCTCATTCCTTGTGTCATCAAGGTCCAGGGTTCCTATCAATTGAAGAGTGTCGGACATTGGCTCAATATGAGTGAACAAACCCATAGTAAATATTGGACAATCCTCACCTTTTAAGGCCTATTTTGAGGTTGAGGTAGGTCCGACACTAACTCCTACATATCTGCATCCTTGGGGAAAAGAAAGGCAAAAACATCCTAGATATTATAATGAATGCTTGTTTTCTATACTTTGAACTGAACCTATTGATGGTGGGGATAGGAGTTCACAAAGATGCAACGGGTAAGGCGCCGTGAGAGAGAGGTTGTTGCAAACATGTTCACCCTGCCCACCGCCAACCAGTCGTGGAGGAAAGTGTTGAGCATGGGGAATCTACTAAATGGGAACGAACCAATCCTAAGAGAAGTCATATTTTCCAAAAGAGAAACATTAAGAGGAAGTTATTATGCTACAAATAATACTCCCAAAAACTGTGAGCAGGAGGATATAGAGACACATAGGATGTATATATGTGGAACGTCAAACGATCTAAGTGTAGCACTTACAGTTTCCTCTTGTGACTAACTCTGTCTTGCAATGAAATTTGTACCTTTCAGTTTCGTTGACTTGTAAATCATGTTCATTTCCTTGCACACAAAAATCGTTTACCTCGTTTCTGTCTAAATATTATGAAAGTTTTCTACTGTATGTGTCATACATTCCATTTTTTTGGATGAAATGTAAGTGTATTAAAAACTCAACCAAAAATAACTTCATAAAATGTATCAAAACTATATAAGCTACCTAATCTAGGCAAAACTAGCACAGTTCAAACTAGCACCGGCATAGTAACAAACAAAGTCCAGTCAAAGTAACCAACTGAAGAAGTCTCTATAGCCCAGCCCACCACCATACGACCTTAGGACAGCTAATCAAAGCCAGCCAGCGGCCATCAGCGATCCAGAGAGCCCATTCCAGCAGCGGATCCAAGGCCCAAGGTGCAGCCCCTTCCTCGTGTCAAAAACAGTGCAGTAGTCCAGCGAAAAACAAAATTCAGCGTAAAAAGGGCCCATTAAAATCCCAGGATGCAAAATAGGGATGGACCCGGGCCGGGCCGGTTCCGGTTCCGGGCCGGGCCCGGGCGGGCTTTTTTTCGGGTTACATGGGCCCGGAACCGGCCCGGGTTGATACCGGGTCCGGGCCTAACCGGGCCGGGCCGGGCCGGGCCCGGTTCAATGTTTTTTTTTTTTTTTTTTTTTTTGACTTTCTTGTTATCTCCCTACCCCCCCCCCCTCACCCCCACGCCCCAAACCTCCCTAAAACACCCAGCCCTACCCTAGGAAAAGAAAAAAAATTGAAAAAACCAAAAAAAAAAAAAAAATGAACCGGGCCCGGCCCGAACCGCCCGGGCCGGTTCAACAAAAACAGGGCCCGGAACCGGCCCGCCCGACCCGCCAAAACGGGCTAAAAGCCCGGAACCGGCCAACCGGGCCCGGTCCGGTCCGGGCCCGCACAGTAGCGGGCCGGTCCGGTTCCGGGCCGGTTCGGCCCGGCCCAGTCCATCCCTAATGCAAAACGCATCAAGTCCGGATCTGGCAGCCCCAGTGAATCAGTGATCCAGTAGCTATCAGCTTAAGTACATGTTAAATATGTAAATTATTCTTTGATCCAGTAGCTACCAGCTTAAGTACATGTTCTCCGGTATATAGTTAATGGGTATATGCTCTTTAATATACAGTTCAAGAGTATATTATCTCAAATTTAAAAATTACGAGCATGTGTTAAATTGTTTCAAAATGAAGTTGAAGAATAAAATGAAGTTGAAGAATAGATTTTCTATCACGGACAAAGTTCAAAAGCATTTTTGTTGCTTCTTCCTTTTCTAAAATAATGGCAGTCACTTCTATTTTGGAATTAAAAACTCTTCTTCTATTTTGAAATATATAACTAGTTTTACTCCTGGAAAATTTCTTTTTTCCCGCAAACATCTTCAGTCATAAACATCTACAGACTACGGAGTAATAAAATGATCAAAGTGGACATGGAATTGAGTTTATTTGCAAGATGGAAGTAGTCATGGACCCGGTCCGGGCCGGTTCCGGTTCAGACCTGGGCCCGTCCGGTCTTTTTTTTGGGAAGGAAGAACTGGAACCGACTCGGGTAGATAGCGGTTCCGGGCCGGTTCATGTTATTTTTTTTAATTTTCTTTTGCTTTTCTAATTAACCCCCGACCCCCCCCCCCCCCCTTCACCCCCCACCCCCCACCCCCCAAACCCCCCCAAAACACCCAGACCAACCCGGGAGATACCAAAAAATTGAAAGAAAGAAAAAATAGGCCGGGCCGGTTCCGGCTTTTAGGAGGCCCAAGCCCGCCCCGTTTTACTCCCGGTTCCGGGTGGCCCGGACCGGTTCTATGACTGGATACCGGGCCGGGCCCAAACAGTACCGGTTCTGGGCCGGGCCCAAACAGTACCGGTTCTGGGCCGGGCCCAAACAGTACCGGTTCTGGGCCGGGCCCAAATAGTACCGGTTCTGGGCCGGGCGGCCCAACCTGAGTCTATGGAAGTAGTGGTAGAGTCAAATTTGTGGGCGGGTTGAGGAGTAGAGCTTCTTCATCCGATATGCCCAAATCCACGAAGCCATCATTACCGCAAGGACGTGTATGTTATTGTCTTTACATAGGATTTTAGTACTTGTTGGTTTTATTTTCAAATCATGTCGGGAACCCGTGACCCAAAACCAAACAATTTTGGGAAAACTGTCAAATAGGTCCTCGTACTATTGTCAAAAAGTCAATTGAGTCCTCGTACTTTTTAGTGAATCAATCAAGTCCACTAAGTATTAAAAAATGATCAATTTGGCTATTTAGCCGGTTGAGCGTAAACATTTCCGGTTAATGCTGACGTGACAATATTTTTCAGTTTTCCTTTTTTTATCCTCCTTTTCTTTTTCTTTCTTTCTTCTTCCCCAGATGGTTTCTTCCTCCTGCGTTTGCATCGAGCCGTCCACCATTTCCTTTTCTTTAATTTCTTTCTCAATTCATTTTCTTTCTTGCCTGGTTTCTTCATGGATTTGGGCATATTTTACGGACGTGCGTTTACGCTTTCTCTCTCCTAATGACCCATCAACTTTTTTTTTCTCTAGTTTCTATGAGATTACGAGAGAAGTGTAATTTAAAATATTTGATCTGTGGGGTGGGAGTGGTTAAGGGAGTGTTTGCAACAGCTTCTGCTTAAAAAAGCACTTTTGGAGTGATTTGGAAAAAATGATTATTTGTAAAAGTTGATAGTGTTTGAGAAAAAAGTGATTTTGAAAAGTAAAAGTTGGTAGTGTTTGGTAAAATAAGTGCTTTTGGTGTATAAAAAGGGGAAAAGCACTTTTGACACGAAAGCCGAGAAAAGTAAAAAAATGGTAGTGTTTGGTAAATAAGTGATTTTTTAAGCCAAAGGTTGAGAAGTGCTTTTTTTTAGTTGTTGCAAACCAACCCTAGGAGCCGTTGACAGGGCCCCCGAATTTATGGGGCACCAATATTTTAAATTTCTTTTGGTATTATATAGTACGGAGTAATACGTAATATTATATATTAATATTAATCAGTAAAATACAATTAGTAAGGAAGAAAAATATAAATGCATGATTTTTTTCGTTGGTCCTTTTACTCCTTTACTACCTCCGTCCTGTTGAGATGTTCCCGCTTTCTTTTTTTAGCAGTCCCAAAAAGAAGTTCTCATTTTAATAATTGGAAAGTTATCCTACATCAAAATAGTGCCAAATAATGTCCAAACAGTGTCAAAACAGTAAAATTTACCCTCTGATAAGTTTATTTCCTTAATATGTGTGTAGGTCAAACCGGGAACATCCCAACGGGACGAAAGGAGTAATCCTTTTTAATGAGTATGTATTCAATTGATTTGAGTATAAGTATTTGGATTGATATTATTTTTAGAAAAGAATATTAATTTGGAGCCTCAGTTTTACCTTTAGAACTGGGGCCTCCAAAATCATTAGACGGCCTTGGTCGTTGATTATGTTTTTTGACTAATTCGATCCAACTTTTTAATAAAAAGCGTAATTTTTTATCACCCGAAATGTGTAATAGTAAGTGATGGATAGTCTACCCGGGGGTATCTTATCCGAGGGGTTATTGCGGGAATAACTAGAGAGAAGTCAGAGCAAAATAGGAGGAGAGAGAGTCGATTTATTAAATGAACTCTGCGTGTGAGATCTGGGATCGTTTACAAGGAGAAATGGGCTGCTATTTATAGCAGCAATAAATGCGATGAGAGTACACGTGTCAGTAATCCAACGGCCGAGGGGTCACATCAATCGGGGTGGCACCGGCAGTGGCATGTTCACCGCATTGAATGCGGTGGGTGGATGTGACGTCGCATTAAATGCGGTGGATGGCTGTCTCCAAAGGGAATCTTCGACGATTGAGTCTGTTTGGCCGAAGGCTCCTCGTGGGGTCGAGGTCTTCGTGTGACCAAGGGCTACGTGTAGCCAAAGGCCCTGTGTAGCCGAAGGCTTCCCTGATGCCGAGGGCTCAACAATGCCGAAGGCTCCTGTTTTCTCCCGTTTTCTTCCAGTAGCTTCGTGTGCTCGAAACTGGCTGTCCTGTGTAATTTGGAGCCTTCGGCAAAGGGGGCCGAAGGCACCCCAGTGTGTATTCGGGGCTCACTTAAGACTTGAGCCGCTGCATTTGGGCCTTGGATGCTCCATGGGCCTTTGTAGGAGAAGTAGGAGTCTATGGCCCGGGGGTTCCTGGGCCATATACTCCATCAGTAAGAAAATATAACGTTTGAGTTACTTTTCTGGCTATATTGGTTGAAGTTACAGTATGACAAATAAAAAATCATACTCCGTATAAAATTTTCTTTATTATATGAATAAAATATATTTCAAATATTTTTTTTTTCATAATTTAGCGGAATCACCGAATACATCCACTTCAGCCAGAACTTTATAAATTTCAGCAGAATCAGCTGATTCAGTCAATTTCAGTGTTATCAAGCGGGTTCTAGGCGTTGTACTTTTCACATTTAGTATATTCTTCGTGTGATTCTAAGGGGGTGTTTGGATCTGATTCTTAAAACTGTTTCTGGTCCTTCAAGGAACATAATCAGAAGCTGTAGTGTTGGGTGAAAGTGAAGAAGTGATTCTGGTGCTCAAATTTACCCATAAAATCAGTTTTTTTAGAAGCTGGAGGTGACCAGTTTCTGAAAACTGATTCTGCTTCTGCTTTAAAAAAGAAGCAGAAGCAGAATCAGTTCCAAACACCCCCTAAGTACTCAATAAAGTGAATTTGAGATTTTTTCCTCAAATGATAATCTTCCAACCATTTTTTTCTTCTGGTCAGATCTGGAAAACGTCTGATCATTGTGTATTTTATAATTACGGAAATTTGGTCTGCTCTGGTTTGATCTGGTCTGATCTGGTCTGAGACTGAAAACAGTAGAAAAAGAAAACATCCTAAGATGAGTTTTTTTAGTATGACTAATGTTTCAAACGTGGTTTCTTTATTAGATTTATGCACTTTTATATTAAAAGTTGCACGCAAGGGTTGAGGTTAAACCTGTTTTTCACTTTTAATATCAACTTGTACCAGACTAATAAAAATACCCAACACAATACTAGGACACGAACTTATACTTTTAAAAAATCGCTTTTATTTACAAGCACGCACCCACAGTTTTACAACGGAGTACGTAGTATTAATCACGCTTACAACCACCTCTAAAACAAATCACTTTCCAAAAATACAACCAGTCACAAATATTCAATAATTATATTCGAAATTTAATTTATACTGCGTTTTATAAATATAATTATATTTATATATACCCATAGTTTGCAAAATAATAATAATAATAATAATATTTAAAGACATTTATAATAAATTGTGCAACCCTCTTCTATCTAAATCAATAATAATATTATAATATCGATGATCCTTATTTAGAAATGAAACAATAGTGGTCATATTTGTGCACTTTATCTATATTTTAGTCTTATTTAAGGAACTAACTCTACCATTATGAACTCCTAAATCCCCCCCCCCCCCCACCCCTCTATTTATAATGTACTCTGTTAGTCAACGAGTTTGATTAGTAGAATAAGTTGTAGTGATTAATAATCCGTATATTTTTCGTAAAACAGTGCAGTGAGCCATTGATTTATGTGTAACTTTTTTTTATTTATGATGTATTTTCATTTTTTATTATTAAAGAACGGTCATTATATTAAAATCGAGAACACATACAAGACAATCTTGAGACAGAATTTATAGATCCAACCGTGAATCTTAAGAGTATACTTATAGTCAGCCACATTATACAAAGCAACATTACTCGCTAAACCTTAAACAGACAAATTTAAGCCTAAAACGATCGAAACTGAAACTCTGTCTATCAAAAGAACTCCAAAAATCCAAACAATCAAATCAAATCTACTTAGACAAAAACATAAAGTGATACTTAAGAGAAAATAATACTGAAATTAAATCTTTACACAATTCTCTTCCTGGAATGAAGGTGGTTCCGGAGGAGAACGAACTCTTACAAATTACAATGTTGGTTGAATATCAAATGGTTGACTAAGGCTTCACGATCTCGTCTCGATTCAACCTTCCAGTCAGTCGCACCCCGTTCATTTGATAACGATATCTCCTTCGACATAGTTGCAATCACAAGCGTTAGAACACTGATAATCGATATTATTTGTCGCTCCAAGGGTTGAACCTCCCATAATACTGTATTTTCATTTTATGAATGAAAGAACTAATAACAACATTAATGACCACATCATGAAAAATGGCTTTGTCCCTGTTCAAAACCGTGACAATCATTATTATATCGAAATTGCAGATTCCTAGATTAGTGTTTCATTAAAAAAACAGTGAAACACGAATAAAACGTAACCGAACCGGCATTATCGCATTGAGTACGTGGCTTAGCCAACAAGAAAAATCTATAGCTTTGATTCTCACTCTCAACCTGTCTCTCTCTCCTTTGCATCAATTTCCTCTTTGAACGTCCAATCTTCTCCCTTTCCCCCTGAAAACGCTCCTTTCTTTTGTCTACCTAAGAAAACAGAGCCCCCACCTCTGTCACTAGCTTAGCTACCCCTCAATCCCTCCTTCCCCAATTCCATTGCATTATTTACCAAATCAATCCAACTCTGTTTTCATCACTCCTGTGATTGTGTTGTTGTCTCACACCGGATAATCGAAACAGAGTTCTATACCTCTATTAATGGAACCCGGATCCGGGCCATCCGGCCTCGGTCGCGACGGCGAAGAGAATCGGCCGTCCCGCGACCAAGGCTGGCACGGAGGCGGAGTAGGAGTAGGTGGAGAAAGAAGAGAAGGAGTCTCAGTTGCTGACGGGGCCGCGCCGGTGGCCGCCCCGCCGAACCGGTATGAGTCGCAGAAGCGGCGAGATTGGGCTACATTTTTGCAGTACCTGAGGAACCATAAGCCGCCGCTGACGCTGCCGCGGTGCAGCGGAGCTCACGTGATCGAGTTCCTCCGGTACCTCGATCAGTTCGGGAAGACGAAGGTGCACGTGACCGGCTGCCCCCATTTCGGCAACCCGAACCCTCCCGCCGCCTGCGCCTGCCCGTTGAAGCAGGCCTGGGGCAGCCTCGACGCCCTCATCGGACGGCTCAGAGCCGCCTACGAGGAGAACGGGGGCCGCCCCGAGTCCAACCCGTTTGCTGCCGGAGCTGTGAGGATGTACTTGAGAGAGGTCAAAGATGGTCAAGGCAAGGCCAGAGGATTCCCTTACGAGAAGAAACGGAAACGGTCGGCAGCCAAGGCGGCTGACGGCGGTAGCTGAAATAACAGAGCCGCCGCCGCTGAGCTCCGGCGACGATTGTGGTGGCGCCTCTGTCCGTCTGCCAGCTGCTGCCACTGTCACTGCAACAGTGTAGTACATGCGGTGCTGTAAATACGGAGTAGTATTTATTTACCGCTGTAATTGAAATGTAAGTATAAATTTGCAGCTCTAAAGGTAATTTTCTTACCCGCAGTTAAAATTGTGATGAAATGATAACTGTGAAGTCAGAGTAAAACCTAGCACATACTATGTACGAGTATATGACATAATAATTCCCTTGGAATCAATGCGGATTATAATGTCTTATTTTCGGTCATCACAATATCCCGTTTTTGGTTAATAAATAAAATTGGTTCATATATGCAAAAGAAGTTAAATAAATACGATTATATGAACTCTGAACTCATAATAATGACTTTAAACCGCATGAAACGTATGGCATAATTTCACATTCATATGCACTAGCATCTCTCTTGTAATTATCTATTTTGTAATTATCTTTCATATACTACTTTTTGTTATTTAGTCTCCGAGTTTATGTTAACTACTCTTTTCATACTCAACTTTGAACTTTTTCACCTTTAGTAGTACGACTATTATGCACAAGACACTTCTATTAGGATGTTTTCTTTTGGACTATAATTTAGTCTGGTCTGATCTGATCTAATCTAGTATGGTCTACTAAAATTGTCTTTTGCATAATAGTTGAAAGTCTAAAAATGGAAAAATTCAAAGTCAAATATCAAAAGTGTCACTGATACAATAATGAAATGACTAAAACTGATAAAAAGTCTTTCATATATTTAAGAAACGGACTTATGGGCTTCAATCTCCTGACCTTTTTGCAAAAAGTGATTTTCTTAAGTAATGATTGTTCTAGCGCTAATTACATTAAACTAATTGCACAAGCATTCCAATCACACTACATCTAAAAGATTTGCCAAAACGAATTTAAAAAATTTAAAATTTGAAAGAAATCACACTTTGTAGACGAAAATAAAAGGTGCTATAATTATATTCCACCTTGATCCTAGAGCAACTGTTTTTTTTCCTAAATTCAGAATGAGTATATAGACATACAACTAACAACCCAAATGGAACCAGATGGGGCTGGTGGTGATAATTGCCTCACTCATCTTTAATTTTGTTTCTGTGTACACTTTTTTCAAGTATCCTTATTCGTAATATGTTAAGTGTATAAATTTAACAAAACCTTGTATTTCACTTACAAATGTTTTGGAACACACATGTATCATATATGTATGAATTTATCAATTCTATGTATGCTTTGGTCCCAAGATGCCAGCACCAAATCAAGAAACTAGGCCATGTAGAGCTCGTTTGGTAATTCTGTTTTTCGGATTATTAGGCTAATGAGCCAACTTTTTAGCTAAACACGTAACTTTTGATTCACGCACTGAATAGAGTAATAATACGAAAAAGTAAGGTTGAAGTTATTTTTCTGATTGTATTGGTTGAAGTTACTTTATCATTGTAGCTATTTTTCATATAATATTTTCTTTAGTTTATTAATAAAATACATTTTTTTCATAAATCAGCAGACCATCCAATACAGCTACTTCAGCGAGAACTTCATAAATTTCAACAGAATCAGTTGATTCAGCCGATTTCAGTGTTACCAAACGGGCACGTAATCTCAACAATGGAGTAGCAGATCACCTGAAACTTTAATAGCGAAAGTAGTATTTCTATATATTTATATATTTATAGAGAAATTGTATTTATATTTGACATTTGAATATTTGTGATTCCGGGGTAGAGAAAATGTGGATGTATCGAAAACTTTGTCACATCTACATTCTACAACTATTTTACTATGTTTAGGAATTTTTATATGCAAGGTCTCTATATATTTAGGAGAAATTGGCATACCCGGCGTTGTCTTACCAACATGTGATATATGTGAGTAATGTGACAGATTCATTAACTAGGGGTGGACCCGGGCCGGTTTGGGCCCGGTTCGGGCCTGGGCCCGGCCGTGCCTCGGGCCAGAAAACTGGGGCCCGAGCCCGAACCGCCGGTGGCCGGTTCCGGTTCCGGGCCAAACCGGTCCATTATTTTTTTGATTTTGGTTCTCCTATTTAACCCTCTACCCCTCCCCCTCAACCCCAAACCACCTCAAATGGCCCAAAATACCTAATTCAACCCAAAACTTAAAAAAAAATTCAAAAAAAAATCAAAAAATTTAAAAACCGGCCCGGACCGGGCCCGAACCGGCCGGGCCGGTTCACCTAAAGCAGGGCCCGAGCCCGGACCGCCCATCACCCGGGCCGGGCCAAACCGAACCGATGGACCCACCGGGCCCCGGGCCGGGCCAAACAGTAACCGGGCCGGGCCAGTTCCGGGTTGGGCCGCCCGGCCCGAGTCCACCCCTATCATTAACATTCCAAATTTTCAATAACCATAGCATCCCTAGAGTTATAAAAAAAAAAGCACCACTTTATGTATAGTAATTGATTAATTACCAGTTATATATAGTATTTCATATACTCATTTAACTTGCGCTTGATAACTCATTTTTTCACTTATCAACTTTACCCGACTTTTTTTTCTCAAAAAAACTTTACCCGACTTTTATAACAAACGCTGACTTTCTGCATTACATACGGAGTACTAAACAAATACGTAGTAACACGAAAATTATGTTTTTGGAATTTGTTTAAAATAACTAGTTCTTGATTTTTTTTTTTTTTTGAGTTGTGACATTGATCTTCAACATGCCATCGTTGTTCAGGTTTCTTCTTTTAAGGTGAGACATTGAAAAATTCGTTTTGGAACTTTTGAAAATTACTCCACTGCACGCCCCGGTTTCTTCTTCTAAGTTGTGACATTGATTATTTTATTTCCTCCGAATCTCCGATTTCTCTGTTTAATGAGTATTGATATTGATTTTGTTGATTTCCGGATTTCTATTTCATATTTTCGGTTTCAGATTTCTTAGTTGTAAAAAAAATCGATTTCCCGAATTTTTGGATTCCACCACTTTTGTCACTTTTGGAAGGCATAAGCAGTGGCGGAACTAGGGGGCGACCCGGTGCCGGCACCCCCTGTTCTCCGGCAACGATAGTGTGTGTGTGTCTCAGCCCCTCGTTCTCCAGCAGCGATAGTGTATAGTGATGGACGGCGTACCCGGGGCGTAGCTTATCCGAGGGATTATTATGAGAATAACCTAGAGAGAAGTCAGAGCAAACAAGTGAGAGAGAGAGAGTCAGATATATTAATGAAATCTGATCTGGGATCCTTTATAAGAGGAATAAGGGTTGCTATTTATAGCAGCCATAAGTGCGATGAAAGTACACGTGTCAACAATATGACGGCCGAGGGGTCACCTCAATCGGGGTGGCACCGACACTCGCATGTGCACCGCATAAAATGCGGTGGGTGGATGTGACGCCGCATTGAATGCGGTGGTTGCTTGTCTCTAGAGGAAGCTTCGTAGAGCGTAGACCCTTCGGCCTGGATCATATGGCCGAAGGCTTCATGTATGGCCGAAGGCTTCATGTATGGACGAAGGCTTCATGTATAGCCGAAGGCTTCATGTATAGCCGAAGGCTTCATGTATGGCCGAAGGCTTCATACGGCCGAGGGCATGACATAGCCGAGGGGTATCGAGGACATCATAGCCGAGGGGTACTGCCGAGGGCATCATGGTCGAGGGGTGCCGAGGGGTACTGCCGAGGGCATCATGACCGAGGGGTGCCGAGGGGTACTGTCGAGGGGTGCCGAGGGGAACTGCCGAGGGCATCATGACCGAGGGGTGCCGAAGGGTACTGCCGAGGGCATCATGACCGAGGGGTGCCGAGGGGTGCCGAGGGGTACTGCCGAGGGCATCATGGTCAAGGGGTACCGCCAAGGTGCTGCCGAGGGCTTCCACTAAATGTCTAGATTGCATGAGTATGTGGGTCAGGAGTCCTGGATCATATACTCCATCATATAGTACGGAGGATATTAATACCTGGTGGCAGATTATTAACAATTATTCTGATGGTTCACATGGATGGTTCATTGTTTAGTCTCATTTAGAGATTTAGAGCCTGTTTGGTAGCACCAAAACCGGCTGTTTTGGCTGATTCTGATGAAATTTATGAAGTTCTGGCTGAAGTGGATGCATTGGCTGATTCTGCTGATTTAAAAAAAAAATTATTTTAAAAATATATTTTATTAATAAAATAAAGAACAAATTATATGTAAAAATAGCTAAAATAGTCATCTACAGTAGCTTCAGCCAATACAGTCAGAAAAGTAACTTCAACCTTACTTTTTCTGCTTATTACACAATTTAGCGCGCAAGCAAAAATTACGTGTTTGGTGAAAAAGTTGGCTAATAAGCCTGATAAGCCAAAAATTTGTGTTACTAAACGGCCTCAATTCTAATTCTAGTTTTCTCTCCTCAAAAATCGATCGTGGTGTGTGTGACTACACAAAAAAAATTACAACGCTGAAATCCGAATTGAATGCTCAAAACTAGGGTTAATTTCGAAAGCATTGCTCAATTGAGTGAGTGTTTAGACATGATTACAATATTCACGCATGTTCAAGAATACCATACTCATAGTCTCACTCTCATATAGGGATTAGGGAGTAGGGATGGATTGAGTCCGGGCAACCCGACCCGAGATCGACTCGGGAACAGTATTGTTTGGACCAATTTTCTGATACCAGTACCGGCCCGATATCCAGACCGACTTAGAAACAGGACATGCTCGAGCTTGATTTTTTTAGACCGGACCGGCTGGTCCCATGCCCAGTTCTAGTCCAAACGCATATGTTTTTTAAAAATACTCCCTCCGTCCCAATTTGATGATCCCGTATTTCCTTTCTGGGCCGTCCCAAATTGATAGTCTCATTTCCCTTTTTGGAAAGAAATATGTGATCCACATCATTTCACCTTTTTATACTCAAATCGCAACCACAACTTTTACCTTTTCAACCACTTTCTTAATATTTGAGCCCAAAAGAAATGGGATCATCAAATTGGGACGGAGGGAGTATTAATTAGTGCACCAGGACCGACCTAGGACCGGTACCGAACCAAACCGGGTCAACACTGGGCTTCAATTATTTAGAACCAGGACCGACCCAGACCAGCTCCATGCCTTCTCTCACACTAGTGACTAGTGTACTACTACTGGGCGGTCCGGGCTCGGGCCCAGTTTTTGGTGAACCGGCCCGGCCGGTTCGGGCCGGTTTTTAATTTTTTTTTTTTTTTTATTTTTTTTAAGTTTTGGGTTGGATTAGGTATTTTGGGTCATTTGAGGTGGTTTGGGGTTGAGGGGGAGGGGTTGGGGGTTAAATAGAAGAGCCAAAAAAAAAAAATTAGAACCGGTTAGGCCCGGCCCAGCCCGGCCCGGTTAGGCCCGGAACCGGAACCGGAACCGCCCACCGGCGGTTCGGGCTCGGGCCCAACTTTCTTGGCCCGAAGCCCGGCCGGGCCCAGGCCCGAACCGGGCCCGAACCGGCCCGAGTCCAGGTCTACTCCAATTGTAGAAACCGATGAAAATATTTTGACAGCAAGAAGCAAATTCCATAAAACATTTGTCAAGGCGTGGGCTTAAATAAAGAGCCTATACATTATTCCGTACTTAAGGAGTCACAATCAGTTATGTACTTATGTTTATTGAGCCACAAACAACATCTTGACCCCCCCCCCCCCCAATGAGGGTTGTCCATTCGATATTGATACAACAGAGGTAATAATTACATGCATGCTCTAAGACAGATATCCTTTGTTCTTTAAACTATCAACAGAGTCCTTGATAATCTGGTCCATGGGACTGAACTGTAGACCCAAATCCATAAGCTTTTTTGCTCCATCCTTGGCCCTCAACAGACCAGGTTGAGTGTCCTTGGGAAACCTTCACAAAATCATCCAAACATCGCAGTAGCATCTTATTTCATTCATTTTTAACAAAAAAGGGCAAAAACAGGACAACATGAAAACTATCACTTCCTCTGTCTCTAAATAAACCCCAATTTTACAAGGAGATCAAGTAAATGAAATTTCGTTGATGAATTTTTAGAGGTGAGAGATAATATAAACCACATAAATGATAGGGGTAATTTTGGGACGGGTAGACCAATGCGAGGCTGGGCCAAAAACAAAAGTTTGCAAATTATTTAGGAAATGGGTAGTATGGTTTAATGGACAAACAAGATAGTAACAATACATAAATCATGGCATTATATTACCTGGGTATGTTGTATTCAGGGTATAATTCAGCAACCTTAGCTGCAAAGTCACTCCAATGACATATTGATTCAACACAAAGGTGCCTTCCTTTTGCTGAAGCAGTCTCGTAAACAAGTATATGTGCTAGCGCTACATCTTTGAAATGGACAGCTCCCATGAAGAAATCTTCTTGTGGGTCAGTCCAACCTGAAATGCCAACAAAATGACCACAATGTAACAAGTTCAGAATAACATCAATCCTTGTTTGCATATAGGTTCACATTTATGCACTTAGGCTATGTTTACGTTTGCTTATTCTTCTTAAAAGTGATTTATATAAGAGATTTTTTATTAAAGTGATTGATAGTAAAAGCAGATAGCGTTTGTAAATAGAAGTGATTTTGATTAAAAGGTAAAAGTTGAAGTGTTTGATAAAAGAGTGTTTTTTATGTAATGTTTTATTAATGTACCAAAATATCCTTGTATAAATTAAATGAAAAAATCATGATGAACATGAAAGAGAATGCTTATGGCGGGCAAGTAGTCAACCAACCCCAACAACCTATTCTTTCTCTGGCACACATTTGCTACGGTATATGTATGTATAAATGAGTAATTGACAAAGGGATGCCGCCGCCGGCCAGGAACGGCAGGAAGCCAACAGTTCCGGCATGTGAGGCTCTGCGAGTACCAAAGAATAAAGCTGGACATAAATAAATCCCTAGATCTTCAATTTTGACTGTGACGATGGCTTACCGGCGGAGCAAATAGGAGAAGATGGAGGATTAGAATTTCACGGTGGCCAAAAGCTTCATTCGTGGATGAGGATTTGCTTGATGCCTCAATGATTTTTTGGAGGAGGGGAAGGGCATTAGCGGGACCAGACACCCATATTATAAATATAATGTTCCCCCAAGTTGAAGTTAATTTCCAAATTACCAAGAAGCTAAAAAAAAGTAAGTCCTGGCTGCTTTGAGCTTTTGGTGTAAAAGTAATTAATATTAAGCAGAAGCTATGTTTTGCAAACACTGAATATGACTTTAAAAGTGCTTTTGAGAAGCTGTTGCAAACACAGCCTTAAGGCACTTGCAAGTTCAAATGAAATTGTTGCTTGCGATTACCCAACACAAGACATTAAAAATGTTGCCCAAAAAAATTTGCTACTGTACAAAGGAAAGAAAGCTTCTTTGTTTAGAGTCCCTTTCATTAGGTTTAATATGGCTGAATCTCTGCCAGCAATGTCTGTTATTCTGGACTTGATGCCATTTTCATTAGTTTTATCCACTTTAGCCAAAACAAAAAGAATTTGTGATTTTTTTCATTAGCATCTGATTCATCTATCGTACTGAAATAGGTTTACAAGTCTATAAGCTGAAAAGATGCCTACAAAACGGGCAACAAAACTGCAGGTTTAAAGTTAAGGATCTTAAATTAGGGATCAGCAGTCAACAATGGCAGAGACAGAGAGAGAGCATGCGTCTATGTTGTCAGGTGGGTCATGCATGTGTGTGATGAAACGAAAGTTATTAAGACAAATCTATAAGATTGAAGGACACAAAGTGGCATTTGTTGAGAACAAACCGAGAGAACAATTGTTAGGAAGAGTGACACTGCTGCTTAGTCCTTAATTAGTTGAATTAAGAGATTATAAAAAGCCATGTGGAGTAGCATAACTGAATTTGCATTCAGGCTACATAGGTTATACAACTAGCATTAACGTCTAAGCAGGGAAGAGAAAAGATGGAGACAGACAGAAATAGCATTTCATTTCTTGTATAAATTTTAAGGTATAACTTTTGTGGGAGATTTCCCTAAATATAAGAGTAAAACATGAGTATTTTGCCTAAATAGGAGTGCTATGCTTTCCCCCTAAATATGAGTAAAGTATTGTCATTCAGAAATCATACTGTTATGCTGGCATCATATTGACATCCTGATTACTGATATAATATGGCAGTGTGGTTTTAGGAGGGAAATGCCCCTATTTATGCAGAAACCTAAATTTTACTTCTATTTAAGGTCATTTCCATTTTATATACTCTCTATATGTCGCCAATCTTGCATATTTTTTATGATTATTTATTTTTCGGTTTAGCAAACCCTAGTACCCTACCATAGTTATTTCTCTTCATGACTCTTATTTAGAGCCGTCAAAAATCAAAATGGGCCGGAACCCGCAGGCTGGCCCGTTTAAACCCATTTATTAGTGGGTTAGGGTTGAGAATTTCTGACCCATTTAGTTCGCGGGTTTCGCGGGTCAACCCACGCGGGTTGCGGGTTTAAGTGGGTTGGCCCACCGGGTTGCGGGTTGGCCCGCGGGCCAAAATATAAAAATATAGTTTTGAATTTTATTATCATAAATATTGTTCTTTTACTATCAATATTATTATAATTACAATTAAAAAATTACAACCATGACAAAACAATATTTATTTCTATAATAAATATTCAAATAAAATGTTGAAAAGTATATTTTATGTGAAGTTCGATACAATATTTAACAATTAGTAGTCATTATTTACAAATAATCAATCAAAAGGTTTGTGTAGATCTTTATTTTTATACAATGAGTATTTTTGTCGCATAACCTCTTATAGTTTTCAAATTCTCATATAACTAGTATTTAATATTTTTTAATTAAACTTAACAAGTATTGAATTTTTAGTATTTTGATTTATATTTCCTTTGTTACTACTTTTGTTTGGAAAATCCAATCTTTTATTGAACCAAGCATAATGGCAAAATTTCCTTTGTTACTACTTACTAATATAAATATATACTTCCGGGTAATTATTTTTAAAGTTTTGTTATATATATATATATATATATATATATATATATATATATATATATATATTTACATTGGCCCGCGGGCCAACCTGTTTAACCCACGGGTTAGGTGGGTTGGCATAACCCGTTACGGGTCGGGTCGGTTGGGTCGGGTCGGCCCGTTTGACAGCTCTACTCTTATTGGCAAATTACATAGACAATTAGTTTCATTTTATGAAACATGACGTTTTCCTGGGATGAAAAGAGAGTATTGGTTCAATCTATTTTAAGCAATGGATGCTAAGTGCCAACGGTACCTTGAAGCAGACGAAGAAGCACTGTCATGCTTGCATTCAGTGATGGGGTTATATAAGTACCCAACACAGTTCCGGGATTCACAACAACAACATCTAAATCTTTTTCCTTCGCGAACTCCCAAGCAGCCTTTTCTGCAAGTGTTTTTGAAAGCGGATACCATCTCTACCACAAATAAAGATTCAGATAAGTCCAACATAGTGGATGAATGCTCATATAAGTACACGGCATTCTTTAAGTATGAAGAAATGTAATGCAATTATGTTTAGACTAGCATGAACTTTGTTTTTTTTGGCTTAAATCATGAACTTTGTTAAAGTCAGAAACACTGGCTTAACCAATCTTTTGTACAAAAATATTCCTGTTTTGCCTCACAGCTATTACATTATTTTCACTTCTGGTACGCCTACCCAAGTTACATATTTTCGAGTTTTGGTGCACCAGTGTAAATTTATTGTAGCTTTTGGTCCTTTTGATCACATGTACCGCCAATTTCCAGTTGATTTCCCCGAGACTGGAAGGAAATTTATATTTAAAAATGAAATTCATTACCTATTTACCTCTAGTACAGAGGAGCCTAAACAAATCGCAAGGAACAACTAAAGGTAGAGACATTTACCCCTTTCTGTTTGCAGTATTCTACATCCGTCCAACAATCCTCATTCTTAACAACATCAGCCGGCCAATTAGGGCTAGGAACAATAGCCGAAATGGAAGAAGTCAGCACCACTCGCTGAACTCCGAGCTCCTTCGCAGCCGTCAGTACATTGATTGTACCTTTAATGGCCGGGTCCAGTAGGTCTTTCTGTCAATTAAACGGAGAGAACGCAATTAGTGTTCAGAGCCACTACTATTACTCTTCGTTTGGATGTAGAAAGGCTGAACTCACCTCGGGATCATGGACTTCATCTACAGTGCAGGGTGAAGCAAGGTGGAAAACGCCGGTAGTGCCGGAAACGGCAGACAAAATGGAGTTGTAGTCAAGGAGATCGATTTGGAAAAGAGTGAGACGCGACTCGGCTCCTTCCATAGCCTCTAAATGCTTTGTCTCTTTCTCATCGTCTTCGTATTTAAAAGAAAAAGGGATAGGAATTGGAACGGAATTAGATGTCAATAAAGAAGTCCGAAGAGGAGGGCAAAAGAAAGAGAAGCTCACTGAGATCTTTGACGGTAGCATGGACGGTGTAGCCACGCTCTAGGAGGAGGCGAACCAGCCAGGAACCGATGCCTCCGCTACCGCCGGTGACGCAGACCACTTCCCCTTTCTTCGCCATTTGCTCCACAAGTTTTTCGGTGTTCGTCCCGAGCTGCTGCAGTGTCACACTGTCACCAGATAAGATACGTACTCTACTCACTCCACGTCTCCATCCCAAAGTGGGGCCTGATATTTTACTTTTGTTATCCTCATCGGCTAATAACATGTCTCGCCTGGTTGCACACCTTCTACAACCACACTAAACCTTTTTTGTGACCGTAGCTCAACTGGTAGCGAGGCAGTGCCACAAGGGTTAGGTCCCGGGTTCGAATCCCGGCAACTGCGATGAGGGGTTACTATGCTGAAAAATGCATGAGGCCTCTGCAAGTACCGGGGACAGAGCCTCACTCTCTATCTATCAGATTGTGATTATAGTCCAATTTACATCCTCCCATCGTGCCGTCCGGTCGGTGTTGGGGGGCCCTCAGGGATGGGGTGTCATCCTTTACTAAACCTTTTCTGTGATTTCAATAAACTTTTAATATCCTTCAATAATAAATCAAAGTAAGAACAACTATCTACACCGCTGACGCCATTCACTTCCATAATTGTGGCTAGCAAAAAATCTATTGGTACACATTTTTCATACACACACCTACGTACACACTCATGTTTGTGAAGAATATTTTTTTTCTGTATACATACATAACGTATTAAAAATGTGTTATGTCTGTATACAGACAAAAAATACTCTTCACAAACATGAATGTGTAGGTGTGTGTATGAAAATGTGTATCTCAAGCTGGATTGTTGTGGCTAGTTGGGGTGGGCATAATGGTTTGGTTTAACTGAACCGTACCAAACCGAACTAGACCGAACCGAAACCGCACCGTATGCAATTTGGTTTTCATTTTAAGTTCAGAGTTAAGACACTACTATTGTGATGATTTACACTTTAAAGACAATGGATCATGGATGTTGATTACTAGGGTATTGTTGAACTATGATTTGTGATTGATTATTGTTGAAATGAAATTCTACCCTTTCCCCATTCAAGTATTTCATAAACACTTTTTAAAAGATTGACATTTCAAATTATTAGTATGGTGCTTTGTAGCAATGTTTGCAAAAAATAGTTGGAATCTTTTTGGCAACAGTTTATTTTGGTTACTATTGATAGAAACAAATAAAAAATGTTGTCCTATATGTTTGAAAAAACTGTTCTCTAAGCTATACTCTTTGAGTACGGTTTTTCCAATGTGTTGCCTTTAAATATCAAAACTGTTGTCTAATGTATAGGCAACGCCTTACATTACCACAGTTTTAAAACTGTTGCCAAAAACAATGGCAACAGTTTTTTTTATTAGGCAACAGTTTTTCAGCGTAGTAGTAAATCCAAAATGATGTAGTGGCACATCATTAATAATTTAAGCATGTCATGCACTCCAATAGCTCATTAAACATCTTTCATGTAAGATTTTCTAATAAAAAGATCTCTAAACACAGGCAACTCAAACACTTGGTTTCCCACATGAGGCATGCGGGGATGCTAAGCTAAGCTATCTTTCTCTTTAAGTTACTCCATTTGTGATTACTTTCTGCTTCTCAATTTTTCAATTTCTATGAATTCAAGTTAATTGAAATTGAGGTAAAGGTTTAACATTGAGAATAGATCTGCTTTTTTATTTTGGCTTTTTTATTCTAGCTCCCTCTAATAATTGGATCTTCTTTTTATTTCAGTCTAGTTCATTTTGTTTGATTAATTTGAGATTGAGTTTGCTAATTGAGAATAAACCAAGATTTTTAAATAAATTTATTGATTTCTTTATTATTCATCAATACTATGATTTATTGAAAAAACAATATGATTATTTCTCTGAAAATTGCCACTATAGATTCTGCATGATATGTGTGAACTCATGTGAAAACTGTCGTTATAGATTCCAGAACTTGTTAATCTATCAACTGTTTTTTTCCCAGGAATCGCTACGAGGTATGGAATATTATTCATATTTGAAATATTTGGATTTGACTGTTTTTTGGCTGGTTTATTAGTGGCTTTTTGGTTTGAGGTATGCTTATTAGTTACTCCGGGGTATTATAAGGGTCTGGTCATAATCATCAAAGCAAAAGAGTTTTTTGTTTGTGGTTTTTACTTTTTAATTTCTTGCAATTTTTTTTCTTTAACTTAGTATAGATAAAAGATATGAGTGTAAATCAACTTTTAAAACGAGCAAAAAATGAGCTTTCATTTTGCATGCACATTCATCGGTTGTTTAAGGTTCCCAACATGCGTGTAATGCTTTATTGTAGATTTGAAATGGGTTGGTCAAGGCTTCATCAGAGATTAAAGAGCAAGGTTCCTGTTGTTTAGGTTGCATGGGGAGCAAATTTATTGATCCGTTGCAAGAAGTATGTGATATGGGGATTAGGTTGTTATGCTAACCATATTCATAATACACCATTTCTTTTGGTTTCTAACAAAAGGAGACAATATTTACTTGAGTATTAATTAAAAATAAAATCTCATTAGATCTCAATTTTTTTTAATTACAATTCAAATTTGTAGGAGGTGATGGTCTTTGTTACGTCTTTGTGCTTATTACTCATTCATAAGAATTCTACCACATTTAAAACCAGGTTTCCAGATATTCCAATTGACAAAAGGGGCGGGCACAGTAAAATAACTAGCAGAGGTTTTTGGTTTTAAAATAGTTCTCTGAACTTTTTACAAATAGTTCTAATGATTTTGTATCTTTTCTCAACAAAAACCTTACTGGTCTTGTGAGCCTCATGTTTGTTATGTGAGTTTTTTCACTACAAAAAAACACGGAGTTAGTCACGGATTTAGTCACGGACCGTAGTATAAAAAATCCGTGACTAACTCTGCTAGTCACGGACTTTGTCCGTGACTAAATCCGTGACTGTTTGGGCGTGACTAATTCTAGTCACGGTCATTTTATCCGTGACTTAGCGTAGTCACGGTTTAGTCACGGACCGTATCCGTGACTAACTTGTCACCGGAATAACCACACCGGCGACTTAGTCACGGCCTTTTCCGTGACTAAATATAGTCACGGACGAATCCGTGACTAAACTTTCAAATTTTAAAAAATGAACCGCCAAATGTTACGGTTTAAATTTTCAAATTTCAAATTTTAGTCACGGACTTGATCCGTGACTACTTTTATATTTTAAAAAAAAATTAAATTTGTAAAATAACTTTTTAAAAAATCGGTCTAGAATTTAGTCACGGCTCGGATCCGTGACTAAAGTTTTTTATTTTTTTAAAAAAAGTTTTTTTGTTTTATAAAAAAAAAATTTATTTTTAATTTTTTCTTTAGAAAAGTTTATTTTAAAAAATATTTGTAGAATAAAAGTAATAAACAGACTACTAGAACACACATTTCATAACAAAACATACTGAAATAAAAGTAATAATAAGCACAATAGAATTATAGTAAATAAACAATGTTCAAATAAAAATGCATATCATTTACAAGCTCCTCCGGCTACCATTATGATAATATCTAGAATCATCATATAGATAATCTTCTTCGGTCTCATCTTCTCGGTTGTATCCAGCTTGGCCACCGCGACTGCCTCCTCCGCGACTGCCACCTCCGCGACTGCCACCTCCTTGGCTGCCTCCAGATGTTTGAAACAGGTTGTGAAAATTGATATCCTGAATAGAACCAAATGAAGGCAACCCGGTAGCAGAGTTGGAACGGAAATAACCGCCCATGTGTACTTGAGGAGTCTGCTCGGGGTGCTGTACATACGGCTGAGGCTGAGGCTGATTCCGAATTCCGGCGCTGAGGATCCGTTCCATCGCTTCCAGCCGGGCCCTTGTTTCTTCTTCTTTTTTGCGTTGCTCCTCCAAGGTGCGCTGCTGCTCATCCAAGGCCCGCTGCTGCTCCTCCATCTCCCGCTGCATTTGAGCGATACGCGGATCCTCTCCGCGCCTTGATCGGGAAGATGAAGCACCGCTGCGGTCGTACAAGATCCGTTGCCCCTCAGCCCCCATGCACGGGACCCGGCCCTTGTACACCCCAACTGCCTCAAAGATGGCATCATCCTCCACATCAGAATCAATCTCATCCTCCTGAGTCAAGCCTAATTCTGCCCGCCTCTTCTCAACATTTGTGTTATACTTCGACTACATGTACAAAAATTGCTAATTTAATGTTACTCAATTTGATTTTGAATGGAAATAAGTAACAAAATATTGTTACTTACTTCGATTTCAGCGAGGCGGGGTGGCAGATCGGCATCGGACTCATCGCCGTGCTTTGTCCAGCAGTGCTTGATGACCTTGAGAATTGAGACCTTCTTCTTCTCAGGCCCCGACTACAGTTTGGAAAAAAGGCTTAAGATCCATAATTAATTGTTAAAATAAAGGGTTGTAATTGTGTAAGGTTTTTTGAAAAATACTTACAAGATCTTCTTTATGTCTACTCTGAGGTTTGCGGCCCCCATGCCATTGGGTTTCTAAGGCCTTCTCGGACATCCGGTTTTTCTTACCGGATTGACTTCTTGCCAAGAAGTTTGGATCAGAAGACCAGTGACGGACGAGGTTAGCCCACACCTCATCCGAACACCATCCAGGCTTTACCCCGCTCGTTCGGGCACGCCTAAAAGTAGGACGAAGCCAATTTGAAATCCTAGCGTTATACGCTCTAAGAATAGCGGGACCTTGGGCTTCAGTCCATCGAAACCGACCCTTTATAAAAAACAAATAAATTAATTTATCTTTTATCAAATGTTACGTTAATACAATTACGCAGAGAAAATTCATTTTTTTTACCTTGAACAGGTTCCACCAAAGTTCACGAACCTTGGGGTCAACATCCGTGTATGTTGCCCAGTTCCCAAGAAAGTGTACTCCGATTATGAGTTTGATTTGGTCCAACACATCTTGATCGCTTCAGAAAATTAATATTATTTATTTATAAAAGTTTTGATTACATTATGATACATTGAAAAAATTATTTCACGTTAGATAAAATTCATAGTTACTTACTTCGCAACCATGTGGGGCGTCACCCAAAGCGCATTTTCATTGTTGCGCTCAGCTTCGGTTAAGGGCACATATTTTGGGCGGGGACGGGAGGTTGATTGTTCATTGCTCATCTAAAATATATTAATTTATATTTTTAAATGTTTGTCTAATCATAATAGAAGATCAAATTTTTATACAGTTATCAATTGAAAATGTGTAAAACATATTAAACTATGTGTAAGTTTAATATGAGGGGTGGTAATTTTATAAATTGTTATCAAATGTAACATGTTAAACTTGTAGGCAATTTTAAACAGTTTTCGTAAACAGTTTTCTATAAAAAACAGTTTTCTATAAAAACTTTTATAACTCTAAAATAAATTATTTTTGAAGGTAACATGTTAAACTTTTAGGCAAGTTTACATGAGGGAACATAATTTATTTTGAAATTTTAAATATATGTATTTTTTTTGACTTTTTTTTAAGGATGTCAATAAATTCATTTTATTGCATTTGTCGTACTATTTTTTTACTTTTTATATTTATACAAACAGTTTTTTATAAACAGTTTTACAAAAAAATGTTTTATAAAACAGTTCTATATAAAAACAAATTTGTATAAACTGTTTTTATACAAAACAGTTTTATATAAAAACGGTTTTATTTGTAAAAAGTTTTATAAAAAACAGTTTTATAAATTATAAAAACTGTTTTATAAAAACAGTATAATATTTAAAATACCAGTGTTATATTTTTTATGTCAATTTTAATAAAAAAAATATTTATTAGTACACCTCATTTTTAGTAAACTTCATAAAACCGGTTAATTAAACTGTTTATTAATCACTTTTTATTAAAATCTGTTTTAATTAAACTGTTTTTTTATTAAATTGGTTTTTATCAAACTGTTTTTTATTTAATTGATTTTTATCAAACTGTTTTTTTATTAAACTGTTTTTTTATAGAACAGTTTTTTATTAAACTGTTTAATACAAAAACAATATATTATTACACTGTTTTTTATAATCTATATTTTACAATTTATTTCGGAAAACAGTTTTTAATGTCTAAATAATTATTTTATAGTTAACATGTCAAATTTTTTTGGAAGTTTGACATGAGGGGGTATTTTTTAAATAATTCGGAAATAATAAATTTGATTAATGATAAAATAATAATAATCCTAACAATGTCTAAATAATTCATGCATAAGTCCGAAATTAAATCATGCATTTGATTGAAAAAACATGCATGCTGTTTAACCTAAAATTAAATAATATTTAGGCATGCATATTAAACTTGTACAAAAAAAAATAAAATTGAATCAAACTATATCTAAAGCATGTGTACTATAAATCAAACAAAAAAGAAAAAATAAATTTTATCATCTTTGAACATGCAAATTAATATTGTAATTCGAAATTAAAACAAAACTAATAAAAGGGAGAGATTAATATTGAGCATGCAAATTAATATTGTAATGTGAAATTAATATTGTAATCCGAACATAATAATAACATGCATTTGTGTGTATAAACATAAAACATATACACATATAATCATATTAAATGTATATACACATAAATATGTAGTTGTAGAATAAATCATTAGGGCATTCAATGTTCAATAATGCATAGGAGCATATAAACATGCATTTGAGTACATAAACATGCATTTGTGAGTAAAAAATTAATTGAGAAAACATAACCTTGATGTGGAGAGAGAGGTGCGAAAAAAGAGGAGTGGTGGACGACGGCAGCGGACGGCGGCAACCGGCGACGGACAACGGCAGTGCACGGAGGACAGCGGCGGCGCTGGACTCTGGACGGCGGCGACGGGGGTCCGTGGAAGAGTCGACGAGAGAGTAGGGAGGTGAAGAGAGAGTATTAGGGTTGGAGGCGTGTGGAATGAAAAAATTCGCTAAGTGTTGATTTTATATATCGGTGTAGTCACGGTCGTAGTCACGGATAAATCCGTGACTAAACCCTTCGTAATCAACGAAATCAGCCACGCGGCATCAGCCGCCTTTGACCGGTTTAGTCACGGTTTTATCCGTGACTAAGACCGTGTCTAATTCAAATTTTGAATTTAGTCACGGTCCTAGTCACGGGTAAAACCGTGACTAGACCGGCGGCCCTGACACCGCTCCGGCTGCCAGACTGACAGGTTAGTCACGGCATTATCCGTGACTAAGACCGTGACAACTTAAATTTTTTTAGTATAAATCATCTTTCTCCGGCCCAAGACTGGACTGTAAAAAAAATGGATAATAGAGGTCCAATTGACTGGGATTCGATGTGTAGAGATATGAAACGACTTAAGCTGATTACACAGCTTATGGAGCCGAAAACCGTGGAAGCATACGAGAGAATCAAGGAGTTGATGTCTAGACCCCTTGAAAGTTTTGGCGATTATAAAGATGAAGAATCCGACTCGTTGGGCAAGTCAAAAGCAAGAAATTTGTGTCGGATGCTTCAACGTGCACAAGAAGTTTCAGAGTATATGGACCCGATCAACGAAGAAGCTCGAATGAAAATTCAGGAGTTGTGGGCTAGGCCTCTTGAAAGTTTCCGATTGAGGAATGAATAATGTTAGTTAGGTTAATGTGATAAATAAATCTATGTTAGTTGTTTGATAAATAATATGTGACAATTTCATTGTGTGTTTTGTATTTATCTTTGAAATTTGATAAATAAATCTCTGTTAGTTGTTTATTAATATCTAAATTTATTATAATATTCAGATTAGTAAAAGTAAATTACTTTTTTTTTAATTTTTGAATTTTATTAATTTTCGAATAGACTTAGAATTATTAAAATTAATTTTCGAATTTCGAATTATTAAAAATTATTAAAATAAATTTTCGAATTTATAAAAATCAAAAATAATATTTGAATTTTCGAATTTGAAATTACATGGATATAATATAGAGTAATTTCATATTTTGTATTGGGTAAATTTTAATTTTCAAACTTCGAATTGTGAAAAATTTTATTTTGAATTTATAATATGGATATAAAAAACTTGTTGTGGTTGAATTAATATGGAGTAATTTTTTGTTCATAAATAATTAATAATGATAAAGATAGAAAAAAATTCAAATATTGTTGGAGTAATATAATGATGAAGAAATCTGCACAAATATTAGAAGTCAATAAAATTGAAATTACAACAGCACAATTATTCGCTATCAGAATCGTCATTTTCTACATATACAGTATCTTCTTCTATATCTGAACCGTCTATCCATTCACCTTCTTCCTGATATTGAGCGTTTTGTTGTGCTACATACATTTCCTCAATTTCGCGCTCAGATGGAATGGTTGGGTCCGGAAGGTGCGTTTCTGGCATGACTTCAACACGTCCGCCATTTGGATCACTTAATTGGATGTCATAGTTGACCGTCTCAACAATAGGCGGAGGTTGGAAAAATTGTTGCTGAAAAGCATCTAGATCAACGTCCTTGTGTTGAGTTTGTGATTTTATTTTGTTCGGACGGACAGGACATGCACACACCCAAGGATTCTGTGTCCGCCTTGTTGAAGGATATTCTGCATAATAAATCTGCGCTGCTTGTTGGGCGAGTATGAAAGGCTCATTTTTCGGGTACACACGAGACTGGTTGACGTCAATCATATTATACTTCGGATTTTTGCGCACGCCACGTGTGGGGTCGACCCATGTGCAACGGAACAGAACGCATGTTAATTTGTTCGCATCAGAAGGCATCTCAAGTTCCAGAATCTCCTGCAGGACACCAAAAAAATTGGTTTCCGAGTTATCATAACCGATGGTCGGGACACATAACCCGTTGTTCGTTGTTGGTCGGCCCTCTCCGTAATCGGCTGTGTGATATGTGTAACCGTTTATCACATATTGCCGCCACACTTTGGCACTGGCACTAGGGCCCCACGCTAATGATACTAACAAAGGGTCGACAATCCCACGACTATTGATCTGTAAATATAAACATGATAATAACATTAGGTAAATATTGAAAAATCTTACTTAATAATATATATATAATTAATGTGTGTGTATATATATACCTGATACTTGTACCAATTTACAAAATCAGAGTCTACCAATGCATCAATTTGATTCTCAGGAAAGGCTGATAAAGAAGCTCTGAATTCACAGTGAATTCAAAAATAAAAAAAATTATAAATTAACTACAAATTTAATTGATACGTATTACAATTATAACTACAAATTTAACTTACTGATAAAACGGTGAGATTTCTGGACAATTCATGAGGATATAAGTATGTGCAATTTGCAATTCCCCACCCACGATGTATCGTTGTGTCGCAGCACCTTTACCTCTGCCTGGGTAATTGAAGATGGAAACTACATTTTCATATAAATCCTCGCCAATGTCATCGTTCCGGGCAGGTCTCTTCCTTCTGGTGATGACGTCACGCTCGAAGTAAAAAGACGAGAACGTTGAGATTTCTTGTTGAAGATACGCTTGACAAATTGAAGCCTCAACGTGTGCCTTGTTGGTCACTTTCTTTTTCAGCTCTCCTAGAAATCTGCAATAATGCAATATAACAACGGTACACATGTTAACAGTTATTGTGAAATAAATATTCTTTTTTTAAATGAAATTGTTACTAACCTTTCAAATCTGTACATCCAGCGATAGAAGACGGGCCCAGCAGTCAAAGCCTCATACGGAAGATGTATTATAAGATGTTCCATTGTATCGAAAAACGATGGAGGCATTATTTTTTTCTAGATTACACATCAGAATGGGAACAGACTCTTGTAGTCTCCGGAGGGATGCCGCATCCAAAACGCTGGAACATATCGATTGAAACAACAAACTGAATTCAGTAATGCAGGACCATACGTGTTCAGGAAGCATCTCTTTTAGTGCAATTGGTAGAAGTCTTTGCATTATTACATGAGCATCGTGAGTTTTCATGCTCGTCGTCGTGGTAAGTTTGTTCATGTCTACGCATCTAGACTAGTTGGAGCAGTAGCCATCTGGAAACTTCTGAGACGCAAGCCATTGTAATATTGCTGCCTTTTGTGGTTCTGTGACCTGGTAGACTGCTTTTGGAACTTCCTTGCCCTGATATTCTAGATCAACAGAAAGTTCGGGTCTATCACACCAAATAGTCATATCTTTCCTATCTGCAAGACCGTCTTTAGTTTTGCCTTTCAAATCCATCACCGTGTTAAATATATTGTCAAAGACGTTCTTCTCAGTGTGCATGACATCTAAATTGTGACGGATGAGAAGGTCTTTCCAATAAGGCAACTCCCAGAATATGCTCCTCTTTGTCCACTTATGGGTATCACAATACCCATATGGCTCTTGGTTTGGCTCTTCCATAGCCGTAGGAAAACGTCGAACCCGGTTATAAATTTCTTCACCGGTCAATCTCGGGGGTGGGCTCTCTCGTACCGCTCTGCCTCTAATGAAAGACTTCTTGTCCTTTCGATATCGGTGCCTTTCCGGGAGAAACTTGCGGTGACAATCAAAGTAACTTCCTTTTTTGCTGTAACTAAGCCAGTTGGCACCTGATTTCTCCATGCATATCGGACATCCCATCAAACCGTGTGTGCTCCATCCCGAAAGCATGCCATAGGCAGGGAAGTCGCTAATGGTCCAAATGATGGCAACTTTCATGATAAACATTTTATCTGATGAAACATCATAAGTTGGTGTCCCAACGGCCCACAGTTCTTTCATCTCCTCGATAAGGGGTTGGAGATAAATGTCTATCTTTCGCCCAGGATCCTTGGAACCCGGACAAATTAAAGACAAAAATATGAAATGACTTTTCATGCACATGTCGGGAGGGAGATTGTAAGGAGTTAACATGACCCGCCAACATGAATAGTTCTTGCCAAACCTGCCAAAAGGAGCAAATCCATCTGAGCACAATCCCAGCCGCACATTTCGTGGCTCCATAGCAAACTGAGGATGACAGCGGTCAAAGTGTCTCCAGGCTTCACAGTCCGAAGGGTGAGCCATCATACCCTCGTTGGTTTCGTGCTCAACATGCCATGTCATGTGTTTCGCAGTAGCAGTCGAAGCGTACATCCTCTGCAGTCGAGGAGCTATTGGGAGGTAATACAGTTTAGACAGTGCAGACCTATGTCGTGGTTTCTTTTTACCTTGACGAACAGGTTTGTATCTGTCTCCACCACAGAACTTGCAGAACTCAAGTGCCTCATCCTCCTTCCAGAACAACATACATCCTTCCGGGCACGCATCAATTTCAACACAAGGTAGCCCCAACTTAGACATTAACTGCTTCATGTGGTAATATGAATCCGGAAGGGTATGATCTCGCGGTAGCATCCCTCCTACTGACTGCAAGACTCTATTCATGCAAGTTTCAGGGAGACTGTATTCGGCTTTTATGTTCATGAATTCAGTAACGGCGGATAGCTGAGAGTATCCCTCACAATCAGCATACAGAGGTTGGTCGGCAGCTTTTAGAACATCCTGAAATCTCTCAGCCAAACCTTCATCCACATAAGGTTGATAAAATGTCGGATTTTCATCCGCATCTGGTTGATACGAGGTTGAGGCTTCAGGGGGGTCGTTAGGTGGTTGTGGGGGGTTGAACTGAGACATCGGTACACCGTATGCGTCATATACCATTTGTTGGTCCCACCTCATGTAACACCCCCATTTTCCCTCCCAAAATAATACTTGAAAGAATAGATTTATTGATAATAACTTGATTTATTCTTTCAAACAGTTAAAAAGTTTTGCAGCGGAAATAACATTAATTGGGAAATGGGTGTTCAACATAATTGGATTGTTTATTTATGACTAGGTTTGACTAAGGCATCTCTAAACCGCTCTCGTGGTCATACAATCATCAGTCCACATAAGCATCATCACCTGCACAAATAAAGTGCAGAAAACAAAACAAAGAAAAGGAAACAAAAATTAGCTTTAGAGCTAAGTAAGTACTACCCAACCCCGTAAAATAATCAGGTTTGGCTAAAAATAGTTTTTCATATAATACTATATAAAAATGACACACTCCACCAAAATCCTTTTCTCTTTGATATTTCTCAAAATCACTTCTTTAATAAAGTCCTCAACTTTTCTTTGAAAATACTATAGTAACTCTTCTCTTAGAATTTCTCAAAATTCACTTCTTCTCTATCTTCCTAGTAATTTAGAAGGGCGGTGCTCAACACTCTGGTTGAGCCCGGTGGTTACGTTGTTATGTACGGCCACCCCGGGACTTTTGCCGGTACCACAACTGCTAATGGAAACGAAACGACTACCTTAAGTGTGCACACCCCCTAAAAGGGATTCCAAGCCCTCCGAGTAGTAAGTCGTCACGAGTAATCGGGACTCAGTCTACCAACTACCCCACCTTTAAAATTCTTGAATGATTAGGGACTACTACTACTATAACTTCTTCTTAAAAGGGATCATAGATCCAAACGTCACTTCAAACTCAAACTGTACTTCTTAGTAGTAGTAGCCTTAATCACCCTCCACATTTATCCGGATGTGGAAAACCGACACCACGGATTTCTCCCGGGTGCTCACTTCTTATGAAAACGTAATTTTTATCTTGACTTTAGATATACTTCCAAAAATATATCTTAATCTCTCTAAATAGTCTCAAAGCTATTTAAAAATATTTAATACCCCAAAGTATCTCATTTGCACTTCTCAAATACTATAGATCTAATATCTCCTCAAAATCACATACACATAATTCAAAATTCACACTTTAATCAAATAATAGCATATAATACGAGGAAACCATTTTGGATTGGCAGAGAAACTTACCTTAAGTCCTGATGCTCCTAATTCTCTTTCTCAAATCCGGTCTCTAAATGTTCACCTTTTTAATTAAGATGATATAATTAGTCACTTATTCTATTTGTAATAACTTATCCGATTTTCACCTTTTATTTTATTGTTCGAATCTAGTTTATTTATTAATCTTACCACTTTAGTTATTAATCCACCTTAATATATCCGAACGTCCTAATGAATTTACTAATAGTCATATATTTAATCTGCTTTTGCTCTAATACTTAATATATCCGAATTCCTTAGTTATGTTAATCTACTTTAATTAATCCAGTAATTAGTAAGTAATATGTAGCCAATTTATTCAATCTAGTTAAGGTACTAAGTTCGAAATAATCAATATTTTATTATAATAAATCGTTTATCAATTTGGATTAATTAAACAATCAAATCCTTCCATTATTACGTAATTGTATCGGTTAAAAAGTGATAATTTTATCCACGTAATTATTTTGAATCTAATTAATCCATTTTCAACTTTCAATATTCTCATTCCAAATTTAATTACCAATTTTTCATTATTTATTATTGTTAAAACAAATTAGTCAACTTATAAATTTACGGAGTATAAAATAACGAAGATGAAGCAGAGTATTCGTACAGTATGCCGTACTCCTTTGCCGTCGTCCTCGTTCGACCCACACAGTAGGGTTAGCACAAAGCTTGCTCGCCAGAGATGTTCCTCCCAGGTCAACCTTCCTCCGGTCGCCGGCATGATGGAGTCTCGCTTAGCGCATTGGTCCGACAGTTAGTTCTCCGGTGTAGGGGCTGTCCGGTGTCAGTTTTGCAGCAGCACTCCGGCTTCTCCTCTTCATCCGTCATGAATCAGCCCGGCATACAATTGGGTCTTCTTCTCCGGAAATGGAGCGGCGATGTGGCGAGGTCCTTTCTCCGGCGAACTTCCTCTCTTTCTTGCGACTGCCGACTCACACCCACACTCTCTTCTCTCTCTCGACGGAGGTAGTAAATCGTGGTTCACGGGTTTGTTTTTGTTTTTGTTTTCTTTGCAGGTCTATGAGTATATGGCGCATGTCACGCATGACGCATGTATATATAGGAGTCGGAAGCTACGCTTTGATTAAAAATCAATTATTGTTTTTTTTTATCCTTTCAGGAATCAATTATTGTTTAAAAAAATCGAGTATATTGCACCAACAGTTTTGATTAAACTTATCCGATCATACGGTTCATACCCATGTGAATTTGTAACTGGATGTGTGTATGCTTAGCTAATCACACTTGTGTACTTTTGGCCTCATCCGATCATGTGCATTTATTTCCTTTGCATACTTCTCCCATATTATTGCTACATAATTTATCACTTACTCATTATTGTGCATACATTTGCATATTATTCTATTCTGTTATGTGAATGCTTAGGTGAAATCCGTATGTATGGGTTTGAGTTTATATCATTATCAACTTAGAAAAGTCAACATTTGACATTGTTAATTGTTGTGGTATTTAGTATATTTTTGTACACACTTTAATCGATACTTTTGAATTACAATTGTTATAATGTAACTTTTATTATTGAAGCACTTTTATCTGATTAAAAATGTCACCGATGTTAAAATTTTATCTGACTAATAAATTTATTGGACTATTGGACTGTCACTTTCGTAACATTTTATCTGACTAATAAATTTATTTATTTTATTTCAAATATTTGGAGTGTCACAATCTACCCTCCTTAAAAGATGTTTCGTCCCGAAGCATAAGCTAAGAAAATATCCATAAGTACAATTAGCAGATATTACATCTTAGTTAATAATAAGTTCTTTTAATTTTATTAAATTTTCGGAGTGTCACACCTCATTTCAGCACGGTCTCCCCACGCACTCATCTCTGGAGGGACGTAACGAGACGAACCTACCGTTTGTGGTATAACAGATGGATCCAAAGGTTCGCCGTGAGAAGTCCAATTATAATAATTGGGAACAAAACCAACCGCGTACAAATCATACCCAACTTCGTGTGGGTCTTTAAATTTGAGATTTTTACACTTTGAACATGGACATCTTATTTTATCACCACTCATATAAGCCGGATGTTCAAGTGCAAATTCAATAAATTCCCCAACTCCCTCGAGAAAATTTGATTGCATTCCGTACAATACCGCATCTTTATCATACATCCAACTTCTATTTTGTTTATACATTATGCCTGAATATTATAATAAAAAAGTATACACGTTCAAAACGAAGGTTATTAATGTAACAATAATACTAACAAATTTTAAGTGAGTTATTTCACTAAATAATCAACTAACTAATTTTCACTAAATTAAATGAAATGCACACAATTCACAACAATAATTCACAAAATATAAGTAATTACCTAATACTTAAATTTAACTAATATTACAAAAAATTTAAGTAATTTATTAACACTACATTTAAATTAAACATACGTTTAACTAAATTTAACTAATTCATTTAGTTAAATTTAACTAAATTTAACTAGTTCATTCCGTCCCCTTTTAATGCATCACTAGGTTTAAACCTACGTTTAGCTAACTAATATAACATAATTAACACATCACTAGCTACGTTTAAACCTACGTTTAGCTAACGAATTTTAATTAAATTATTTTTGTAAACCTACATTTAAACCTACACTAAATTATTACGTTAATGACATTTAATGTTATTAGTACTACACAATTAACAATTCCAATTCACTAAATTAAATAATATGACCAAATTAAACCCAATAATTTGAACATGTATATAAGGTCATTTGAATTAATAAATAATACACAATTACAATAACAATTCACAATACACTTAATTAACACATTACTAACGTACGTTTAACTAACTAATTTCACTTAACATAAAGATCACTACGTTTAAAACTACGTTTAGCTAACTAATTTTAATTAAATTATTTTATAAACCTAACAGTTTAACTAATTTTATGACATTACTACGCTTACAGTTGAATATGTTGTTAATTAATTAACAACATCACTAATTTAATAGTTTTAATAATTTAAATTGAACCAACTAATTCTAAATAAAAATAATAATTCAAATAACATACCTTAACTGCATAAATGGGGAAAATGATAGAAGACAAACTACATCCTTCGATCTTTCAAACAGATACTGTATATAATGGAAATGAATTGGTGTGGTTCTGTTGAATGAATGAGCTGCTCCTGCATATATAAAAAATTTAGTCACGGACTTAGTCACGGATTTGTCCGTCACTAAGCAAAACCGTGTCCATTACGCGTCCGATCCGTGTTAATGACGTGTAAATGACGTGTTAATCAAAGTAGTCACGGACATAGTCACGGCCATGTCCGTGACTAAATTTATCCGTACATAATACCGTTGCGGATTGATTTATGGGAGATGCAAAATTAATTTTTAAATTTAGTCACGGCTGTAGTCACGGATGTGGCCGTGACTATGTCGCCGGAGTAAAGCAAGCCAGGCTGGAAAATCAAACGGGCAATCGGAGGATGTTAGTCACGGACAAAAATCCGTGACTACGTGTAGTCACGGCTGTAGTCACGGTAAAATCCGTGACTAATTTTTTTTTTTAAATTTCCGTGACTAGTCCGTGACTAGTCCGTGACTAGGCTAGTCACGGACCAAATCCGTGACTACGGTCCGTGACTAAACGAGTGTTTTTTTGTAGTGTTTCTTTGAAAACATCAAACATTATGGTTGGTCTTTATATTTGCTTTAATTTGCTTAATAATCTGAAATCATATTGAATGACTCTATTAATTTCTTTTTGCAGTGGCTGTATAGAACTTTTAAAATTGTTATGGCATTCATGTTAATTGTAAAATGGTTCTGTGTGTGTATATATATTGATATTTTCAGCTAGTTTAGCTATTTTCAGATAAAGATAGCTTAGCAGCTCCGCTACATCTAGGTTTTTTTCCTCTCTCGACTCTCATTTAAGGTCTTCCATTTTTTTTTAAATTTTACACTTAAATCTAATGGAATTCGACTTTAATTTGCACAACATATTTTAAGTGATATTGAACTTTACATCATACTATCGTATTTAAGATCATTATTGTATGCACCTCATTTCAGTAAAAACAATTATGACTTTGCACGACAATTCCTTCACAATTTTTAAATTGATCAATTACACACATTAGTGATTTCGAAAATAAGATGTTAAGTCCAATATTGTCCAAAAATGAAGTGAAATTTAAGTTCTCCTAAGATATAGTATGATATTCTTACTCATCCTCACTAGTTTTGACACATTAAAGTATGCCTACAATTCAACTCTCTTCAAATTAAAGGACTTGGAAAAGTTGTAGAGATATACTACGTATATCACATTAATATACCATCGTATCAATTAGTGTTAGTTTATATTCTTTAGTATCATCACATACTTATTTCTTTTATACTATCCCCCGTTTCTTTTTAATCGCAACATGTTGAATTTTACACTATTCACGTGTTCTACTTTGACTACATTTTACGAAATTATTTTACGAAAATTATTTTTCAAAAAAGATATTGTTCAATTCATCTCATTACAAATTTTCAAAATCTGATTTTTAATTACTTTTAACTAATAGATATTAAGATATAATTACGGTCAAAGATGTGCGTTGGCAAGTGTGAAGTGTTGACCGTTGCAACTAAAAAAACGTAGGAAGTATAAACTTATTTAATAATTTTGACTAATTACGATTAAAGGCACAATAGTAGTTCCAAGAATGTGCTAAACTGCCACTAGGTTTCACAAAATTAAAAATGTCATGCACTTGTACCATGTTTACCTCTAATGTTAAAGATGTTTTCTTTTAGATTGAAATTTATTGGTCTATTCTAGTTTAATGTTAATTGGTCTGGTTTGAACTGGTTTGGTAAATGTCTTGTCTCTGCATGTTTTAACTATTCAAATTTGTTCTGATCTGTATAATTCTGGTCTGGAACTAAAATTAGCCCAAAAGAAAACATCCTAAAAACTTCACTCATACTAATTTTGAAATTAAACACTCCATTTAATTTAAGAATTACAAGCAAGATCAAATTGAAGCTACTTGGCTAGCTAATCCTATAGAATTTAGTAACAACAAAAATACTAAAAATAAAAAGATCGAAGCACTGGTAATTAAGATGACGACGAGACAAACTTCATGCACAAGGGGGCTTTGACGTTGACCAAAGCCAGCACAGCCGCCGGAATCCCCCACAAAGATTCCCCGCAGACGAGCCCCGACGCGACGGCAGGCCCGAAGTCTTTAGCTTTCTGCGCGTCCGCCCTCCGCCACAAGAACCGAATCAAACTTCCAATGCACATATCAATGGCGAAGTACCCTCCAAGGTAAAACGGGATAGCCATACACATCGGATTCGGCACGAACCGGTACACCCTGTATTTCCTCTCATACTTCTTCAGCAACTCCACTAGCCCGTTAATGGCGACGGCGGCGAAAAAGCAGCCGACGGCGAGCCCCAGGCAATTCCTCGGCAAAGACCCAAACCCCTCCACCCCGAGCAGAGCAATCCCGCGGTACATCAGCGCGTACGGCGCCGGGTACGACCCGTCCGGATCTCCGAGCGGGTACGCCTTGTAGAAGATCCAAAAAACCAGCGGCGTTATAAGGCAGCCCATTCCGGTTCCGATCACTTGGCTGAAGAACATCGCCCTCGGAGAAGCCAGAGTGAGGTAGCCCGTCTTGAAATCCTGCATCAGGTCGGAGGCGGTGGAGACGATGCTCATCATGACGCCGCAGGCGGCCAGGCCGGCCAGGACGCCGCCGTTGTTCAGCCCGATCCAAGAACTGAAAATCAAGATCGCCACCTTCCTGTAGTTCGACGCCAGGGACCAATCCGTCAATCCACACCCATAAGCGTTGCAGAAGCCAGAAGGCAAGAACAGGGGCGATGGCATACACTACTATAATATGGTACCATTTTAATGGCCGGAAAATTAGCGGAACGACGACGACGGAGATAACCGCCAGCCCGAAATATTCGGCCAGCCCCAGCCCCACCCACTTCAATTCGGTATTGAGTCTTTCAAGAAAAATTCCGTCCTTTTCTTTTCGTCATAATCTTCTTTACCTTCTTCTTCCCCTGTTTCTTGATTCTTATAGTGACGAAGAAGAAGGCTGAGAACGGTGGTTATGGTCATATAGACGAAGTGGAAGAGCCCATCTCCGAGCATCATTGAAATAGCGAGGAAGACGCGGTAGCCTTGGATGCCGTGAAGGCTGGACGCCGGGAGGTCGGCGGCGTACCACACCCCTTTCTTGGTCTCGATCCACGGCCACAAAATCCCCCACGAAATAACGGCGCCGATGAGTAAGGAGACGTTGACCATGTACGGACAGAGCATTCCGACGCCGACGTAGGTGGAGGAGAAGTCAAAATAGAATCTTTTGGCGTATGCTTTGAGCCCGAACGTGGGAAAGCTGGAAAAGCCGCAGTCGTCGCCGCCGGCGAAGAACCATTGGAAGCCGGCGAAGAGGAAGCTGAAGGAGGAGGATTTGAACAGGGTGGAGACTTGTTTCTTGGCCAAGACGGCGCCTTTCGGGGTGTGGAAGCTGTTTAATTATGAGGTACGCCGTGGCGGTGCCGCTGGGGTATGTGAGTTTGAACTTCAAGTACATCAGCTTCCGGAAGAGGACGATGGAGAAGAGTCCGACGAAGCTGACGGCGAACAGGAACGCTGTCCCAACGAGCATGTAACTGGCGGTGCCGCTGCTGAAGGCGATGCCGGAGGACGCCACCACGCACGTCTGCACCACCGTGTTCTCCTGGCGGGTGGAGGATTCCGGCCTTGGTGAGGAGGGCGGTCCAGGACTTGATCATGGTGAAGGCGAGCAGGCCGGCGGCGACGTTGAGGGAGGGGATGACGCCGGTGGTGAGGTTGAGTTTGCAGACGATGAAGTTGAAGACGACGCTGAGGGCGAGGCTGGCGACCATTGACCTGACGGTCAACTGGTCCTTCCATGACGGCACCTCCGTGGTACGGAACTCGTATTCCGTCGTGGTAACGGCTTGCATCTCTTCTCCCTTGGGGCTGAACGACGACGACGTCGCCCTCCTCTGTGATGTTATTACACATAGCTAGCTAGGGTTTATGTAGGCTATATATTGATCGACTCTTGAAGATGCTCTATTTATATTGTAATAATAGAGAGATGAGATAGATATTAGGCAATATAATAACATAGTGCCCTAATTAATCATTGTTAGAGTTTGTGTAGGATTAGATTACTTCGAAAGTTCCAAGACTGGTCTTATTACGGAAACATCAAGATATCTAGGGCTGAGCACGGATCTCGGAATTCCCGTTCCGTATCGAAGAACCGTCCCGAACCGTTCCAGAACCGATAGAACCGGAAAAATGTAAAACCGTACTGTACCGTACCGAGCTTTTTTAATAATATGGTATGGTACCGGTTCTAAGTGAGAACCGTTCTGGAACTGTCCCGGAACCGTATTGTCCCGAACTGTCCCGTACCATCCCGAATTGTCCCGAAAACTAGTGTTGGATTATAATAATATATTATACATAATATATTACCGAGTATAAATGTTAGTGACCATATGTCCCGAAAACTGGTGTTATAATATAATAATACTACGTATATTATATATAACATATTACCAAGTATAAGTGTCAGGAATCGTATGTCAATATATTACAAATATGCAATCTTGCATATTCTTTGGGCGTAATCCAATTATTAAGACTTGACGGCACTAAAAGTTAGCTTTAAAACAAAAACAATACTAAATGATATAAACAATGCTATGTAAATAGGGTTAATTATATTTCATGGGGGTTAATTATTTGCGAACCAAATAACACCGAAGAACCGTACCGAACCGTGCTTAAAATTGGTACGGAACGGGACAGGTTCCATATATGCGCGGGACGGTACCAGTTCTTGATTTTTAAAAGAACCGTACTTTGGGACGGGACAGGTTTTTTGAAAGAACCATCGTACCGTTCCATGCTCACCCCTAAAGATATCTATCGTATTTGGATGCTAATTATATTAATCCCAATGCGAGCCCGATTCAACTTGCATTGTTTTTTGTGGGACGTTACTAGCTAGTAATTAATCCACCCGTCTTATGAAACTTAATAAAATTGGCTTGTACAGTAATTGAATTACGATAGTACGAAGTATGTATTAAGTACGTAGTAACATTCTTCCTTTTTTTTAGTTGCAACATTCCCTTTTTTATGTTTATCAACGCACAAGTTTGACCATCATAAAATAATTCTGTATATAGAATTATTTTATAATATATTTTTGCGAAAACATAATGAGCGATTGTTTTTTATGTGAAACAATTAATTGGACCAGAAGATCGAGTGTTATTTGGTTTTTCCTTTGTCAAGTTTTGTCACAAAGGGTTTTCTTGGCCAAAGGTTTTAACAAAATATTTTATGGTTTTCAAAGAATATGTAGGATTTAGAAGACTACTAGTATAGTACCCGTGCATACGCACGGGAAAGAGCGGTCGGTGCATATATTTTTACTCAGGTTCAAATTAAATATTTAAATAAAAACAACTTTTTTGGATTCAACATTTTTGAAAAATAAGAGTTTAATAAGCTAATGCCATAAAGTATAAATCCATACAATATGTATTCAATGAAGAGTATATTAATTAGGAAATTAATTGACATCACTCATTAGAATTTGCTACTTATTAATTTTTATGATTATATTATTAAATTTTAAAAATTAAATACTATTCCTAAAAAAAGTGAGTGACATAAAATTTAAGTGAATAAAATAAATATTAAAATTAACGAATATTAGTTATCAAGGCACTACGTACGATAGAGAAAATACTCCTTAATTATTACTCGGCTTATCTTATACTTTTTTTTAATATGGGGGGGGGGGGGGGGGGTCTACTGAGAGCCCCTGCTTTTTTTCTCCTTTTATTAGAAATTTATGAGATCAAATTACAAAAGTTAATGAAGCTAGAAAGCTAAGGAAATATAAGCTAATGAAACAAAAGCGCTAATAAAAAAAGGAAATAAAATAAAATTCATCGCTCAATTGTTAGCAAAATTATCTTGTAAAAACTAAAAGCACTACATATGAGAGAGAAAAAAACTTTCGCTTAACTATTAGTAAGCTTATATTGTTATATCTAAAAAGACTACATATGAGCGAGACAACTCTCATGTTCAATTGTTAGCTGACTTATGTTATATACTTAAAAACACTACATATGGAAGAGAAAATTTCAACTCTCAACGGTTAGCCGGATTGTCTTATATACTTAAAAAAAAGAACTACCTATGAGATAGAAAGTTCTGTCACTTAATTGTTAGCAAGTTTATCTTTTTAGTTTCTTGTGCGTAAAAGAACTACATATGAGACAGAGAGAATTATCATGCTCAATTGTTTAGTCTTGTTATCTTATATTCAAAAGAACTACATATGAGGGAGAAAGTTTTTCTGCTCAATTGTTAGCAAGTTTATCTTCTAATACCTAAAAACACTACATATGAGCGATAAAGTTCTCCTGCTCAATTCCTTCGCTCAATTGTTACCAATATAATCTTCTAATATTTTAATACCTAAAAACACTACATATGAAAGAGAAAATTCCCCCACTCAATTATTAGCAAGATTATCTTCTTATACCTAAAAATGAGAGAGAAAGTTATCTAGCTCAATTGTTAACTGGTTTTCCTCATATCTAAAAACACAACATATGAGAGAGATATCATTGCGTTCAATTGTTAGATGAATTATTTTGTACTTAAAAGAACTATATATGAGAAATAAAGTTTTAGCTTAATTCTTAGCAAGTTTATCTTCTAATAACTAAAGTAGTACACATGAGATAGAAAATTTTCCCGTTCATTTGTTAGTCAACTTGTCTTATACCCAAAAGAACTACATATGAGATAGAAAATTATCTCGCTCATTTGTTAGCCGGTTTGTCTAACAAATCTCTCTCTCAATTGTTAGCTGGATTATGTTATAGGTAAAAGCACTGCTTATTGAGAGAGAGAAATATCTTGTTCGATTATTAGAAGACTTATGGCTTCATCTTTCTTATATCTAAAAGCATCACATATGAAAGAACAAATTTTCCCACTCAATTGTTAGTTGGCTTATCTTACTATTTTACTAAAAGCACTACAAATGAGAGAGAAACTTATCTCATTCAAATGTTAGTCAACTTAAAAGCACTACATATGAGTGAAAAAATTATTCCGCTCAATTCTTAGCCGACTTATCTTATACCAAAAAACATTATATATTGTATATATAAGAGAGAAAACTATCCCACATCCTCCACAAATGTGTAACGATTCACCCAATAAAATTCTTCCCGATTTGACTTAGATCGGAGTTTAAGAATGTGGGAATAAATTGAAAATGTGAGGTTGTGGTTGGGTAAAAAAACGTAAATGAATCTTAGTCAGTTGCTTTTATATATCAAACCAGTGCACATCAAATTATAAAATACTTTAGGAAAGTTTTCTTAAATAAATTTAATACTTTTAGATTTTCCTTTCATGGTCTGATTTTGATTTTAGAGACCGTTTAGTAGTACTAAAATTAGTTGAATCTCTTGAAATGGATGAAATTTTGAGGGAAGTGGTTGAATTAGTTGAATGGATAAATTTAATTTTAATTAATTTTATTAATAAAATAAAGAAAAACATTATATGAAATGTAGCTAAAAATGATCACCTAGAGTAACTTTTCCAATTTATATAGTGAAATAGATCAGAAAATATATACGTAGTACAAATAATTTTAAGCATAATTATAGAGACCGTTAATAAATTATATTTTATATAGTCAATATTGATATCAAATGAAAGATCATAAAAAAATATGAATTTTGAAATTTTTTTAAAAAAAATTTGATTGAAAATGAAAAAGTTATAACAGTTTAAAGAAAATTGGGGTTGTTTATAGCTTGGGCCCCACAACTGAATCCCTACGGCTGCTCCATTCTATTCCAAGGGGAGAAGTTCGGCACTTTCAAATAAAATGGCCACATGGCATTGCTAGAGTAAATCAGAAAATTAAGGAGAGCTAGACACATGAGATTCATTAAGGGTAAAATTGTATTTTTATGAGCTATTACTTTTCTTATATATAAAAGACTATATCTTCTTCTTGAATCCAATTCAATCCGATCTTATTACTAACCTCTCGAATGAATTATTGTACTATGTGTATGTCTCGTTAAAAACCTTGTTGGGAAAACCCTTTGAGGAAAAAACCAATCAAAGAAAAGAGTGCATAATATATGTAAAATGATGTGTTATATTGACTACCTCATTAAAAAGTTTTAACTAAGAAAACCACATGAGAAAAACTTAGCAAGGGAAAATAGTACAATCATTAGCCTTCACGGTTTAATCTTTTAAAGTCACTCTTCTGGAGAATAATAATAACAACAACAACAACAACTAACAACAACAACAATAATAATAATAATTCAAGTCTTATGTGTTATAAAATGTCTTATTAAAACTTTTGACCAAGAAAATCGTATGGGATAAAACTTGGCTAATGAAAAAGAGTACAATTGTATTTGATCTTCCGGACTAATTATTTTTTCCACCTCACAAGGACTAATTAAGACTTTCAAGGAATTATCTTCCAAATTAATATATACTAAAATCACTCTTCTAGAGGATATCGATTGAAGTGATGTCGTAGTCAACATGTGGAGTATATATGTGTTGCATGTTATAAAATGGAAGGGAATAAGCAAAAGATCAGGGAGAGAAAGTATAACCTGAATACTTAGTGAGAAAGATGTTATTAGAAGTGTGATAATGGTGTTGTAATGGTGTGTTAATTACAATGGAGAAGCCTCCTATTTATAGGAGAAAAACTAAGCTTCATAGGATTAGAGGATAATTGTGAACCACACAATTATCATCTAGAATCATAATTATGATTTCCTGATTATTTATATAATGGTGATAATAATTCCTAATCAGGAATAGTTGGAAGATGACTAATTCAATAATATTTCAACACTCCCCCTTGAATGGTCATCTTCTAATTATTCTGGGGTATTAGTTTCATAGTATTATAATGTACTGTCTTGTTAAAAACCTTTGTCAAGAAAAACCCAGTGGGATAAAAACCTGACGAAGGGAAAAAGAGTGCAGTGCATTATATTACTCCCCCTCAATTTAACATATATCTCGAAGACGATACATTCCAATTTTATGGACCAGTTCTTCAAATTTTTTCGGTGTCAATGACTTTGTGAAAAA